AAAATAAAGTCGCTGCATTTTATAACCGTGCCGCAGGACGTCGGCCTGGAAACGTTAACGAGTAAATAGTAGTATGATGTGTTACGCAGGCATTCATTAGTCGGACTAGCCGAAGGCGACTTTGATTATTTTATAGGCATATTTTTTAAAGTATTTATTTTCTTGGCCTGAGAGGTCAACAATTTGAATTAAAAACGTATTAGATATGACATCACTTAGCGACATCTAGTCAGTTATAAGTTGTTCCCAGGGTATTAATCACATGACCTTTTAGGTCAAWATTTAGATTTCTATCGTTTTGAAGTCGTTTCAGAGAGTAGTCAAAAAGAATATCGTATCGTGTGAATAAACGGTAACGCATTCTTGCTTTCACTATGTATTAGAAGTAAAAAATATAATATTCTACKCAATAATATAGCTAGTCCGACTTCACGCTCCAAGAGCGTCTAGTTTCTTTACTATTGCGTATTGATATATGCACCCTTGTCGTGTGTTTATTTCCAATAAGTACAAACTAAACTACACAGACAAGATAGCTTTTGTTTCGAGTTCAATCTACTTTAAATTAGYWGGTGCTTAATGGTATTTAACTATGATATTCCAGGTAGCAGGTGCTTAATGGTATTTAACTATGATATTCCAGGTAACACCGGTTACGACTGTAACTTCGAACAGAGCATATGTCCTTCCTGGGTCCAAGACAAGACCGATACTTTCGACTGGACACGGCAGCAAGGACAAACAGCGTCGTCAAGCACAGGTCCCTCTATTGATCACACAACTGGGACAAGTAAGTGCATTATTGGTTTATCATTGCATATGGTATTATTAAATAATGGAGAGGTTTCTTTACAATAAAGGGAAATTCACTGCAATACATATTAAGCCAAGGATAAAAACCTCTACCGATTGACGTTGCAACATAGGGGCCTTTGTTTTGCTGCACCGTTTTGTAGTACTTCCCATAAATCAAACTTTTGTGAAAACGTAATAAATATCTTCCTGAGGTATCGGGATACAATCACCGGCACAAGTAGATAAGCATAGTGTGTGCCTAGTAACAGTCTTATAGTAGTCCCAACACTATCGTATCGTAAACGTTATGTTATTGTTGTTTTTAACAACAAGAGTTTGTTTTKTAATTTTTATTGACAAATATCGTATTTTCGTGATAGAATTAGAACTCTCATTGCTCTACACTGAATTACAGATAGTGAGATTGTGCTTTTTGTGCAATGACCAATACCCATAGTAACTTTCGATCTTGCATTTTCAAATTACCGTTGAAATGACTATAAAAACCGACAATACTGCCTTTGACGCGGAGTCGTATTTGTATGGTAACATTTTGCATACAGGTCAAAAAYTATGAACTTGATCCTGCATGAAAGCGAGTTTTTAGCAGGAACCAATAGAAATCCGATACAAAGGGAAAAGAGAAAGTGAAAAAGGTGCCGAGCTGTGGCCTGTGCACTAGTAATCGACAGTTAATATTAAAAGGTGTGTTAAATTTCTCTCTAGGCAATGGTTACTATATTTACATCGAGACGTCCTACCCTCGAAAGAATAACGACACAGCTAGACTTGTCACAAAAACGTCCATTCCAGCAACAACCGCGGCTGGAGGAAAATGTTTGTCTTTCTGGTACCATATGTATGGTGCTGATATTAACACCCTAAGGGTCCTTATCCTGACGGGCTCACATAATACCACATTATGGTCAAAAACCGGTGCACGAGGAGATAAATGGTATGAAGCCAAAGTCACCATAAACAGTAGAGACTTTTTTAAGGTATGCGAAAAACGACTTAGTATTCATCTTTTATTCAAAAATCTACATATTTTAACATCATTACTGCCAGATTTCTCAATTTATTGGTGACTTTCATAGTGGCCGGCACTAATTAGCATATTACTGCTGAATTCATGATGTTGACAAACGAAAGCACTGAGATGAGGAAGAAAAACTCTCAAAGTTTCACACACAAAAATTTTGAAAATCCTTTTGAAGTTGTAATGGTTAGAAGAAGCACAAAAACACATATAACTTCGTTAGTATTTAGGGCATATCTTCAAAACTATCTACAAATACATATTTCTTACACTTCTTTACTATGACAGGGCTRAATGTTTCACTTATGAAACTCGTGATCTTAGCTCTTAACAAATAGAAGTTACGAATTACTTGACGGACACGACTGAAGAAATTGTAGTTATAGAGCGGACTTCGTATGAGTGGGACACCGTTACCGCACGGTTACAGCACAGTTACCGCACCTGRCCTGCACAATTTTGGTGAACCAATGGGCCACTAGAATTTGGTTACAGTACGATTACGGTCACAGTACAGTACCGTCCGTTTCCCACTCATACGAAATCCGCTCTAGATTGACTATCGTAAAAATTACGTTTGACTAATACATTTTAATTGTATACTACTCTATAGATAATATTTGAAGGCCTTGCTGGTTCTAGTTACCAGGGTGACATCGCTCTTGATGACATAAGTCTAACGAACGGAGCTTGTAAAGTTTCATCAAGTGAGTGTTTTTTTTAGGAGATCGAATATCTATGGCTCTGTTATAGTGCTTATAATGACGATGGATGAAAATACTCTCCTACCCCCTGAGAGCATATTGGTGATTTCTGGTCCGAAAAGCATCGTTTGTGTTTAAGTTTTAAACTCCATTACACGTGCGGATAAGTTTAGATTGAGCAGTTTTGAAATTAAACGTGAAGTGTRTCAGTAGTAAGTGATAATATCATGATTATTGTTAAGTTGACARTACTTATTTTAACGATGGCTTGAATAATTTAATAGTTATGTAGACATGTCTCATCTGTTGTAGTGAAGATGAATTGTTTTTTCAGCAACCTGCTCTTTTGAGGAAACACTTGTGTGTGGTTACACTAATGACCGTTCTGATGACTTTGATTGGACACGTGGAAGTGGTTCAACAACAAGTGTTGGTACTGGACCTCCTTTTGACCACACCCTTGGCACACCTCAAGGTTGGTTGTTGTTGGTTATGCATATGTCGCAATGATGAAAACAATGTATAAAAAACCTGAACAGCCTTTTTTAATTTCGTGTATTATACAAAATTTGATAGCAAACGATGATTTTAATTAGACATATCACTGCACTACAAACACCACAATCAGCAGTGTACATCAAACATATTTGTCATGGAATAGTTTTTTGCTTGACAAAATAGATTTTTGAGGTCGATCATATACTGACMAGCACTAATGTGTTTTAGGATTTTACATGTTTATTGAGACCTCCTCTCCTCGAAAAACCGGTGACAAAGCTCGACTAATCGGTGGTATCCAGTCTAAAACCAATGGACAATGTCTGGAATTCTGGTACCACATGTATGGTTACACCATTGGCACTCTAAATGTATATAGAAAACGACGTTCTCTTGGTTCGCCTATTTGGACTGAAACTGGTGACCATGGAAACCAATGGCTAGTTGCCCAGGTAACAATTAGAAGCGTCGTGACGTCTTATCAAGTTGTATTCGAAGGGGTTAGAGGAAAAGGTTATACTGGCGATATCGCCATTGATGACGTCAAACTCACGGATGGACGCTGTCCTGATCCAGGTATGTCGATAATTATTGGTACCAGTATGATATTTATAATGCTATATGATATGTTTATATTCTGTAGTGAAACACATTTTTTCTCTTTAGGGTCTTGTACCTTTGAAAACGGATTATGTACGTACAGAAACGCAAAGAAAGAAGATGATTTTGACTGGCTTCAAGGTAGGGGGCAGTCTCCATCATTCGGTACAGGGCCCTCGACCGACCATACAACCGGATCATCCAATGGAACATACATGTTCATTGAAGCGTCAAGTCCTCGAAGGCCAGGAGAAAAAGCGCGATTGTTAAGCCAATATTTTGATAAAATGCCGTCAAGTGGAATGTGTGTTTCGTTTTGGTACCACATGTATGGCAGCGATATTGGAACATTCAACATTCTYTGGAAGACTGCTGCTGGGAATGGCTCTAACGCTGAAGGAATAATTTGGACCTTGAAAGGAAACCAACAGAATAAATGGCTGTTCGCCAGGGTGACGCTACCATATAAAAGTCACGTGATGATAGTTTTTGAGGCCATTCGCGGAAACTCTTACCAGGGTGACATAGCAATTGATGACATTCAGGTTACTAACACACCATGCAGTATATTACCTACATATGCAAACCCTAACAAACAATCGTCAACTACAGTAGCTCCAACCACAAAATTCACTCTACCGCCCACAATTCCTTCCTCCCCTTTTAATTGCGACTTTGAGAAAGACTTCTGTCAGTACAAACAAGAAAATCTAAATGACATATTTAACTGGACACGAACGCAAGGAGGTACCTACTCAGTGGGCACGGGGCCTATATACGATCATACCATTCAGCAAGGTGTTGTTTTGAGCGATAACGGACCAGGATCTCTACAGCATGCTCTTAGTGGGAAATGCCTCCATATTTTAGGGGGAGCTTTCAAGAAGCCTAAAGATGGCACATCTGTCGTGTACTACGATGGTTGTGGGGAATCCCGACTTGAATTCAGTTTCACTTCTGCCAAACTATGGAAGCATACAGCATTTGGTATGTGTATTGCGAGGAGAGGAACTGGTGCCAATGCCGATGACGTAGTTATCAGTGATACTTGCAAAGACACATGGGAATTTACGTCAAAAGGATCGATCAAACATATACCTACCGGCAAGTGTACGCAACCATACAAAGGTTACCAAYTACCTACTAATGATATGAAGATGGTGCTATCCAGTACTTGTGATGATGCTTCCAATAAACAAAAGATGAAGTGGTCTCCAAGTAAGTCATTATGATAAAAAAAAAATTATGATAAGCGGTTATGGTTGTAATTACTTTTTGTCGAAAATATTTACTCTTTGAAATTGCGTTAAATTKAAAATGTGATGGTTTCTATGTCATTACTTCTAGCTCTTGGATACTACGCATTTATTGAGGCTTCATTCCCAAGGAAACCAAACGACACAGCTCATCTAGTATCCCCMACATTCACATCGACCACGAAATGTCTTTCTTTCTGGTTTCACATGTTTGGACCTCATATAGCAAGCCTTAACGTCTACCTTAAAAGTGGCAACAGGCTTGGTAACGCTGTGTGGAGTAGGACCGGTACCCATGGCAACAAATGGAACAATGCCAAGATACCACTTTGGAAAAAGCCTCCATTTAATGTCGTATTTGAAGGAGTGCGAGGAACGAGTTATCAGGGAGACATAGCTATTGATGACATCCAGGTAATCGAGAAGCTTCATTGTTTATGGGTAAAATATATGATAAGGAAATAGAAGATCATGCGTCACTACTCATAGACGTAATGTTGAAAAGTTATTTTTTGTATATACTCATTTTTGTAGGTTACGAATGGCGGTTGTAAAGCAAGTGTAGATTGTGATTTCGAAGGAAAGTACCCAAAATATTGTGGATGGACAAACGTTAAAGGAAAGGATGACTTTGACTGGACRTACCAACAAGGAAGGACACCATCTGTGTCAACGGGGCCGAAATTTGATCACACTTTCGGCGACGGAAGAGGTATAGGATAGTATATTTAAAACACCAACCAAATATRTAGATATTGAATAGCAGTTGCACCAGTTGAGATCGCTTGATAGAGTCATTGTATGTTGTATACTCATGGTTGCCTTGTGCAGGAACGATCATTTTGATCACTCACTTTTAACTATTGTRCAACCTTTAGGTCACTACATGTACATCGAAGTATCAGGAGTAAGACCAGGAGCCAAAGCGCAACTTGCCAGCACTCTCATCAATSCTCAGAGTGGAAAATGTCTTCGATTTTGGTATCACATGTACGGCGACAGCGTAGGGAAACTCAACGTTTACCTTTGGGTGAATGGTGCAAGTTTYCCTACATATCCYGCATGGAGCAGAACAAAAGGACAGGGAAACCAATGGTTCGTTGCACAAGTCTCAATTCAAAACATATATAAGCAACTCAAAGTAAGTTACGAATATTTTTATAAATGTGTAAGTAGAAGCTGCAAAAATATTCGATGCAAAGAAAGGGCTAAGTTTCTGTATTCTTCAAAGTACCAAAGACTCGAAAAGCTCAATTACATAAAAAACATTAATGTAAATTTACACGAATGACTATGAACAAATCTTTCATTTCATACAAGGATGGGGAGCAAGGATGGCCGAGCGGTKAAAACGCCGGTCTATCACCGCTGTGGTCCTGGTTCGATTCCCRGTCCGGGACTATATGTGATTTGAGTTTGTAGGCTGGTTCTCTTCCTTGCTCCGAGGGTTTTTCTCCAGGTCCGCTGGTTTTCCTCCCTCAGTCAAATACTAGCTGTGAGGAGTGTCGTGTGGTAAAATAATAAATGTTGAGGTAGTGAGTGTGAGTGAATATACAAGTTTATTAGTCTAGAGACTATTACGTGCTACCCTCTCAAAATAAAAGACTTTATTTATACACTATCCTCTGCAATATCTTTCAATAGATWGTGATTGAGGGTGTACGTGGAACTAGTTATACTGGTGATATAGCAATCGATGACGTCAGACTACTTGACGGCCCGTGTGGTAAGCCAGGATACTGTGACTTTGAAAAAGACGACTCGTGTACTTGGACTAATGATAATCTTGAGGACGATTTCGATTGGCTGGTTGGTAGTGGACAGACTCCTTCAAGATTCACCGGTCCATCAAATGATCACACTACAGGTTTGGGTTATGGACGTTATATCTTCATGGAATCATCATCACCAATACAAACTGGACAAAAAGCAAGACTCATGAGTGTACGCTTCCCACCTACAAGCAGCCGTGGTAACTGTATTCAGTTTTGGTATCACATGTATGGATCTTCTATTGGAACATTGAACGTCGTCCTTAAAAATCGAGCTGGAAATAGAACAGAGAAAGTATTATGGAGTTTGTCTGGTAATCAAGGTAACAAATGGAGYTATGGACAAGCTCCCGTCAGAAGTTTGTCTGATTCTTACCAGGTGAGTTGTTTTGACTCCGTAATGTTAAGCTGTTGTTAAAGGTTTCTTTTACGTATTTTTATTGTAAAAATTCTACACAATCTAATTGCATTTCCAATTTTCCGATAATTATAACTCGAAAATACGTTCTATAAATGTCAAATGAAACAAACTGTTAACGTTTAATGWAATGGTGATAACGACTTTGTTAACAGGTTGTATTCGAAGGAATTCGTGGTACGAGTTATACTGGAGACATTGCGCTAGACGACATTGTCTATGTAGTCGGTGCATGCCCAGTGCAACCTAAGAATGCTATTCCTGGCATGACAACGAAGCCTCCTGCTACCATACCAACCACTGCATCACCTGGAAGCGTTTATTCCTGCAATTTCGACGTCAGCTTTTGTTCTTGGGTGCAAGATTCAAGCGACCATTTTAATTGGACAAGAACCAAAGGGAGCACGTCATCATCAAACACAGGGCCGGCTTTTGATCACACATCAAGTAAGACACAATAGCAAAACTACACATCGGTTTGACATTGCTCTTGATGTGTAAATGTTCGAAAAAATCGTTGTAATGCGATGGGAATCAAACTCATTCCCTAAATATGAAATTGTTTATGTCTGTCCAGTAAAAGTAAAACTGAATTTCAATAGATTGAAGTTGCTTAACCATTGTAACTGTCCTTTATTGTAGAAAATGGTAGCTATGCCTTTATAGAAACTTCTTGGCCACGAAAACCCAACGATACAGCACGGTTAATTAGCCCGACTCTACCATCCAATACTCGACCAGGAAATTGTCTGAAGTTCTGGTATCATATGTATGGACCACAGATCGCTTCTCTTAACGTGTACACCATGCTAGCTAATAAACAGAGGACATTGGTGTGGACAAAGAGTGGAAGCCAGGGAACGGAATGGAAATATGGACAAGTGTTTGTTAGAAATATCAAGCCTACACAGGTACACCCACTACCAATCGAAATTTCTTCATAAACATTATGTGTATTATGCACATATTCACTGAGTGGGAATCCCGTACGGGAAAATATTTAGTTTTCTCAAGGTCATGCCGTACTGAAATAGCACAGGTCGATAAAAATGACTGAAAGCCAAATACATATTTTCCAAAGGTCCCGATCAAACTCAGTCAATAAACATTTTATCATAAGATCCAAATATTAACAAGCAGAAARTTGAAAATCAAAGGAGCGAACGATTCAATGACATTTCTTTCGAAGGTTTTTGTTTTGAGTGCGCGAGCGGAAAGGATACGAAWYTTTTCTGGAACAGCTCAAATCCTTATTTGTCCCGGCTCGTGCCTTCGTTTTCCAAAGTTTTTTAAGAGACCAAGTGTTGACAAACAAGATGAATGCGAGGAATATAATATGTAATGTTTAATCCGTCTATTGCAGTTTGTGTTCGAAGGTATTCGTGGTAATGGTTACCAAGGAGACATAGCTCTTGATGACGTATCTATATCCTCGAGTAAATGTCCACCCCTTAAAGAATGTACCTTTGAAGACAGTGGAATGTGTGGATGGAAAAACGAAGTCACAGATGACATCGATTGGATTAGACAAAATGGCGCTACCCCAAGTAGTCAGACAGGTCCACCGTTTGATCATACWTATGGAACAGGTATGTAAAAATTAGGAAAAACAAAAAGAAAACACTATCATTTTACCGAAGATTCCTTCTAAGAACAGGAAAACAAAATGTGTCTATCAAATTGCCGCAATAATATGTGTAATTTTGCGAATTCACATGTATATTGATACAGTTTTACAAATATGTAATTAAAGTCAATAAATCTATATACACATGCTCTACTGAATTACAACTGACGTTGACTAACAATCTCTACAGCTCAAGGATACTACATGTACATCGAGACCTCTTACCCAGTTACCGCCGGCAAAAAGGCTCGGCTTGCAAGCCCAACGTATTCCAGTACAACTGGCAAGTGCTTGTCGTTCTGGTATCACATGTATGGCTCTTCTATTGGTACTCTCAATGTCAAGATCAAGAGATATTTCATTGGTAGACCTTTCTACTACCTCCGATGGTCRCGATCTGGTAACCATGGTAATCGCTGGCGTATAGCACAGGTATTAACCGCAACTCGGTCTAATAATTATATAATCGTCACCAAAACGAGCATCAACTTGACACGYAAAATATTAAACTACATATGTATTCAATCGTTTGTAGGTAACGATTCGTTCAAGTTCGAACTATCAGATTGTCTTCGAAGGAATCAGCGGTAAAAGCTACACTGGTGACATTGCTATCGACGACGTCAAGCTTTCGGACAATCCTTGCCCCCCTCCTGGTGACTGTACTTTTGAGAACGGTATGTGTACATGGGTTAACACTAAAGGTGACGTATTTGATTGGACAAGAAATAGCGGAACGACACCAAGTTATCAGACAGGCCCAGCAACTGACCATACCCTTGGCACCAAATATGGTATGTRTGCATCTTGTCGCTTAACCCAGTAGATTTATGTTGACTATCARCCAATATAATAGTATGTGTTGGGTGAAGATAGAAATGCAACYGTTTTAAACTGTCGATTTTGTATAAATATTGTATATTGTACAGGACACTACATGTTTATCGAGACATCGTCACCAAGGAAACCAGGCGATAACGCGTTCCTTGAGTCCGAGGAATTCAAYCCAACTGGTTCAACGGGCCGATGTCTAAAGTTCTGGTTCCACATGATGGGCTCAGGAATCGGTTCACTCAATGTTTGGATCAGTGAAAATGGGACAAAGGGCATGATATGGAGCGTGAAGACACCCAAAGCTAATATMTGGGAATATGCYACAGCACCAATAAAAACAAGTCAAGTATACGTGGTACGTAACAATTTCATCAAAGTCACCTAATGTATKCTTCTTGTTTTCACTGGACACCTTAATCGGAATTTTCAGAAACGATTAAACGATTAAGGACAAGGCACAATAAATAAATTTGATAAATATTATACGTTTACCATACTTTGTAATAATAATAATAATAATATTTAATATTTATATTGCGCATGTTCTATAAAATATTCACATGCGCATAACTACAAGATAGTATACATATAATATAATAGACATAATATGAAAACATAAAAGATAGACTAAAAATGATATTTAAAAAAATGCTGATTTAAATAAATATGTTTTTAGCTCTTTCAGGTTGAACTAGGATGAGTTAAAAAGTCGTTAAATTTACAAAGATATGAGTATATGTTATATGGATCCCCCACTAAATCATTATTTCTTTGTAAATTTTTTAAGGTTGCAGTTAGCTGTTATTTAAGTATGTAAAATGTTACTAATAAACCTAATGCTACTCGTGAGTCGACGCACTTAATCCGTGAACTTCAAACAAGTTACTGCAAAATAGTATTAGTTTATGCTAATTTCTTTGWTTAATTAGTAATAATTAGTAGAGTGAGGTAATTAAACGCGTGAAGAAAAACTCGGGTTTTTCGTCTATATTAGTATTTTTCTTCTTTAGCATAAAATCCAGCTATCTCATGTATCAGTGATGTGACTGCCGTTTTTAGATTACATTCGAAGGTGTGCGAGGTCAAAGTTACCAAGGAGATATCGCTATTGACGACATTGAGTTTGTTGTTGGCACGTGTCCCATTGTTCCTGTGCGAGCCAAGCCAACTAATCCTTGGACAACACCATCAAGTGCGCCTACAKTAACTACCATAGGACCAACAGCAGCCCCGTCCAAATGGGACTGTAATTTTGAGAAAGGCTTCTGTTCTTGGATACAAGATACTACTGATAGATTTAACTGGACTCGTGCTAAGGGCTCTACTGCGTCTTATAACACTGGTCCTACATCAGACCATACAACAGGTTAGAAAACGAATGATGACRCTGAAATTTAAAGATTGATAAATGAATAGTCTTCACGGTTTCCTGCGCCATCTTGAAAGGTAGCCGTGCCTTTGCATTGAAGCGAGACGACCGTTGAGCGTGCAATAATAGAAACCTTCTTTCACACCTACAGACAATTATTTACAGGTATCTATCATTGCACGCTCAACCTTTCAAGATGAAGGAGACTATAGTTTATGAAAACATCTCAGATTTTCATATTTATTATTAAATTTCTTATCGAAAATATTGAGAACATGAAGACGGTAAAGAAGCAAGAATGAGAGTTTTATACAGAGCATTTTTGGGAAATATATTAATTTACCAGCCAAAGCCAGTTAGGGAGTGACTTAAGATATGCATCAGTTCCTTTTTAACTCGAAGATTGCGAAGCAATCGAACAGTTATTGGAGGGGGACGAATCTGTCACTTATCAAGTCAGTCACTCAGCCAGTCAGTCAGTCACTTTCCTGTAAACTTGAGGCAGGCGTTCGCCCCTGCTTGTTAAGAATCGAAGTTAAAATAATTGGATTTTAACGAAACAAAAGCTGTATTCAAAAATCGTTTGCTTTAAATTCTATTTGTAAAGTAATTACAATTTGATTCATCGTATCACATTCCGTATTCGTCTACACAATCAATCTTAGAGTTGTGTTGCCATTGGCGGCTTGATTGTAATTTGACACCAGGAAAGGACAATNGCCGGGGTTTAATTTAAGAAAAACATGAGGCATTCGGATTTCGAGAATTTCTAAAACAGATTTTGTATATCTCTTGACAGGATACTACATGTACATCGAAACCTCTTCTCCAAGAAGCAAAGGCCACAAAGCTTGGCTTAAAAGCAAACAATTCCRACCAACTAATGGCAGATGTCTTCAATTCTGGTTCCATATGTACGGCAATTCAATCGGGAAACTAAACGTCCTACTATTACAGAACAACAGTCGGTCATCGCCTATCTGGTCAATGGGCAGCAATCTTGGTAATAGGTGGCGTGTAGCACAAGTTACGCTCAAGAGTTTTGTGGCCTTTAATGTAAGTTTGTCCATGCATTTCTCTACAGCACCTCATGAATCCTCTATTGTAGCTGAACTAGATGCAGAAATCAGTTTGATCGATATTGCTGAGAGGTTACGGATATCTATTTTAATCATAGAATTTTCCAAGAATGACTATTTATATTTCTCTTTCGAAAAGTTTTTATTTTCAAATGTGAAAATACCACATTCTTGGTAACTATATATATTGGAGGTATATACAGTGTATAACAAAACTTGTCCTATCGTGTTGAAAATCGTTTGCTACGCACACTAGTGAGAGGTCTTTTAAMTGATAAAATCTATTCTTTGGAATACGATAGAAATAGCTTAATGTATTGAAAAACTRCTCAGGTATGTAGTTTTTTCCCATTCTTGTAGATCATTTTCGAAGGAGTTACCGGAACAAGTTACACTGGAGATATCGCTATTGACGATGTCGAAGTTCTTGACGGAGCCTGTCAAATCCCCGGTAGGGTGAATCAGTTGTAAAWTTACTGAATTTTCAGTTTATTGATTAAAACCAATTTCCTTGTTTTTCTTGTTAGGCGACTGTAACTTTGAATCAGGAACTTGCACTTGGATGAACACTCCTGCAAGCGCCAAGGAAGATGAATTCGACTGGACCCGAGGAAGTGGTGGCACGCCAAGTCGATTCACGGGACCCAAAACTGACCATACAACCAATACTGCGGCAGGTAAAATAGCTATCAATAGACATTTCTTGGTTGACAGCTGGTAATGAATTATGAACAGTTGAAAAGTAAATCAAAGTCAGCGATATAACAAGTTTTTTTTCTTATCTGATAGATTAAAGCATTGAACACATTGCATAAAAAATTAATAACTGAGTTAATTTCTTTAAGGTTCTTATATGTTCATCGAGACTTCTTATCCTCGAAAACGCGGTGACCGTGCCCACCTTGAAAGTACCATATTCCAGGCCACCTCCGGGCAAGGTTCCTGCATGAACTTCTTTTACCATATGTCTGGATCTGGAATTGGTACGCTCAATGTATACATGAAGATCATCGGCCAGTCCATGTCAAAATTGTGGACGCAGACTGGTGATAAGGGTAATTCCTGGCTTGAAGGACAGCTTCCTGTAAAAAGTGCTGGAAAAAGCTATCAGGTACCGTTGTATTAAGCGAGTGAGATTATTGATAACGAGGAAATAGTTYTCATTTTCACAATTGCAGCATTACCTTATAGCAACTTTACTAMTTTTCAAATATGTAGAAGTTGTTTGCTAAAATGCTAGTGATACATTTGTTTGAATACTGCGGAAAATTGAACTAGAGTTTCAAAAATCTTTAAAGAAACTGGAATTGTATCGAATATTTAAAATCTTTGATTCATGGGTATTGATATTGTGAAGGAGAAAAAGAARGGAAAATTATTGAAGTGACAACATAAAAACCTACTTCATGTATTGATGCTATATGTTATCTTTGCAGATTGTATTCCAAGGTGTTCGTGGAATTGACTACAGGGGAGACATCGCCATCGATGATATTTCATTTACACAAATCACATCAGTCAATGCTTGTCCTATGAATGCAACAACAAAGAACCCTTGGCCGTTTGATTGCAACTTTGAAAATGGGTTGTGCAAATGGACTCAAATACGGGGCAATGATCGGTTTGATTGGACACGAAGTCGAGGTTCTACGTCATCGCTAGGGACAGGCCCAGCAGTTGATCACACTGGTGCAACATGTAAGCTATTTTAAGGTTATTTCACCTTCGCTAATACGTCGACTAAAACGATTTTACGGTAGATCTGAATCGAGAATGAAGAAAGGCTTCTCGCTTCACAATGTCGTTGAGATTTTTGTTTTGCTTTTCTCCCTTAGCTCAAGGTTATTACATATACATCGAGACTTCATCTCCACGATTACCCAACGACACAGCGCAGATCGAAAGTCCTGTAGTTTCTGGAAATGGTACCCTCGTAATTCGCTGTGTGACTTTCTGGTACCACATGTATGGTCCACATGTAAACGCGCTTAACCTTTACGTCCGCGCTCCTGGTGGTAAACTGGGTAAGCCACAATGGACGAAGTCTGGAACTCAAGGAAATATCTGGAGGAAAGGGGAATACACACTCAGGACTTCAAAAGATGCAACAGTAAGTCAAATTTAAACATGATCGAYATTACGGTGTAATTCATAGTCATATTTTAAAAAATTGAGGCGCTATGAGATTATATATTTCCACTTGACTTACTTCGCCATCGCAGGATACAATGACCAGATATTAGTTGTGCTAGTTTTGATAGTTTCTATGGTCTCAAAAAGAAGAAAAAGTCACAAAATTGCGATTTTGAAGGAATTGTTTAAAGTACTAGAGACAACTGGACGCCATTATACAAATCTCGATCGCAATATTTTGTAGATTGTCTTCGAGGGAGTGCGCGGTACAAGTTTCAAAGGTGACATCGCGCTCGATGACATATCCATTACCGATGGCAGCTGTCCATCCACAGGTAAAACTAATAAAACTACTGTACAAATCGCCATTGTACTAAGTTCTTCTTCTTAACCTTGTCATTTTTTATAGGCATGTGTAGTTTCGAGTCGGCAAATCTCTGTGGTTATACAAATCAAAAAAGTGGCGACAAATTTGACTGGACTCGTGCAAATGGTGGTTCTCCTAGTGTSAACACTGGTCCGTCTAACGACCATACTTATGGAACCTCATACGGTAACAGCAGTTTTTATTTGGTTTTATTTTGTTTTTTTGTTGCTACACCTAACCAAAAACATGCAACTTTCAATATATATATATGTCTTTTGTTCCCCTATTGTTTAATCTCTCAAGAACAGAAAACAATATATATATTATATATATATATTGAAAGTTGCAGAATTTTGGGGGGTTAGGTGTACATATATAATATATAAGTAGAATGTCGAAATTAAACAAAACACCAACTTGAAACTATAATAACTCGATTTTATTATGGGAYTTTCTTCTCAGGTCACTACATGTATATTGAGACATCAGGGAATCCTCCTGCCCYTGGTGACAATGCAGTGCTCGTGTCCCCTTATTACCAAAGAACAACCGAATCGTGCCTTGAATTTTACTATCACATGAAAGGTAAAGACATCGGAACATTGAATGTCTACACTAGGTATTGGTTCTGGAGAACTAAGATTTGGTCTAAGTCTGGCAATCAAAGCAACATATGGAACAAGGCCCTCGTTACAATCAAATCACCTCGATTTAGCTATCAGGTATTTTTTGGAATTGATGGTTTCATTTACTCAATGGTTATAAAAGCATATAAATCTATAGATAGATAATAAGATGTTTTGCTAAAAAAATATTTCACTAGGTCTTGTTTGAGGGAATCAAAGGGAAAAGCTATCAGGGTGATATAGCAATTGATGACGTCAAAATCACCCCAGGCTCGTGTCCAAACCCAGGTGATTGTTCGTTCGAGAATGGCCCGTGTACATGGACAAACACCAAAGTAGGTGATAAATTTGATTGGATATCTGGTAGTGGTTCGACATCCAGTTACTTCACTGGACCTTCTATTGATCACAGCACAGGAACGGCTCAAGGTAAATATATCAGCAGATCAAAGGGTAGAAATCTACTATTCAATCAGAACAGTCGCTTACTAAAATGGCTCTGTTTCAGGAAAATACATGTTTATTGAGACTTCATCTCCAAGAGTTACAGGAGACAACGCGTTCCTTGTTAGTCAACGRTTAGATCCCACTACAGGTTCAGGAATTTGTATGTCGTTTTGGCATCACATGTACGGTGCGACTATTGGCTCCCTGAAGGTTTGGGTGTCTATAAATAACACCAAAGTCTTGCGTTGGCAGCGAGATGGAAATAAAGGAAATACGTGGTTCCAAGGDCAGTTCTCCATAAGTAGTAACTACGCACCATATCAGGTAAGTTTCAGCACAGACAATAGCCAAATGGATCATGCTGGGACTGTTTGTATGAAGCATTGATCAAGTTATCCTTAGGAACTTCTGTCCCATAATCTAAAGTTGAATGGATTTTATCCGCTTTGAATAGAAGGTTTTATCCTGTGGAAAGAGTTACGCRTGTTTCATAAACCTGGGCACAGACTAAGGGGGAGGCAATTCCTGCGTAGATAAGATAAGTAACGATAGTCAGACTTAAACCAACGGATGGAACTACATTTGTACAGAAATATTGACATTTTTGATGTGTTCAGGTCATCTTTGAGGGCATTCGCGGAAGAAGCTACACTGGAGATATAGCCATTGACGATATTGCATTTACTGTTGCGGCCATTAGCTGCCCCTTGAAACCATCAGATGCTTTGCCACCTGGAGTTTCTACAACTTTACCTCCTCCTACAACTGGTACTATTCAGCCTACTGCTGGTAAGAACTCCTGCACCGATCCGAATAAGAGATCAGTATGGTACACTAGATATTTGTATGCTTCAAACTCATGMTCACGAGATCTGTCTAGAGCACCGTTTATTTCTCATAGTTGATGTCAATTTGTTTGTTGCTAGGTAACAATGGTAATGACTGTAACTTTGAGCTCGGTATGTGTAAATGGMAACAAGATAAAACGGACAATTTTGACTGGAAGAGGCATCAAGGCGGTACTGCCTCAGCTGGGACTGGACCCAAATATGATCATACTCACGGAACAGGTATACRAGGGCTTTATCCGGATTAATCCAAATGAATCTTATTTTGTATGGTGCAAATACATTTTTCCAGTAAACTGCTGGTGCCTAATAGAAGTAAGACCTAAGTATCGTCTTTTTATCTATAAAACATAAAAGAAACATGGAGAAAAGAGCACAAGAATATTTATCCAAATTGTAATTTTGCTATATTGTAATAGCTCAAAATGTCATCGTTTTGTTTGCACTGTATTGATTTAGCTGCTGGGTATTATATCTATATCGAGACCTCATCTCCGCGAAAAACTAACGATACTGCAAGATTGATCAGTGCAACTATCTTGAAGCCCAAATCATCGTTTGTTTGTATGAGCTTCTGGTACCACATGTACGGACCGCACGTCGATACACTGAACATCTACTTCAAGGTAAGAAGGACTCGATCTTTAGCTTCACTAAACATTTACTGAAATCTCACCATTTTAGTATACATGTAATCAAGAAAAGTTCGATTTTTAAACTAAGATGTAACTGTAAGTAAATATAATTYAAAGGTTCTTGTTATGAATATTGAACATTTATAGGACTTATAATGACTCATAAATATGCCATATTACTTATACACCTTGGTTGTTATTGAAATCGAATTATAGCCAGTGTTTGCTTGTTTTTGGAAATGCATGACTTCATATTTTTAYTCRCCATTGTTTAGGTTGGAGGAAAGCAGATTAAGATATGGCAGCGCACTGGCACACAAGGTGACGAATGGAAGAATGGGCTTGTACAGTTCTCGCCATCGGGAGATAGTACGGTGAGTTAAACACTAAATGTTCACTTAAACACTTATTAATACATGAAATTTTCGTAATAAGTAAAGTTGATGCATTGTTTGACAACCCTACCATTATCAACAGGTCATTCTAGAAGGAATCAGAGGCGTCAGTTTCCAGGGAGACATTGCTTTGGATGACATAACTTTTAGAGATGCTCGATGCCCGCCATCAAGTTAGTTTAAATTGGCACGCCCGTTCTTTGCGAAAAAGTTGCTTCACTAATTATGTTTTTTATATTACAGAAACGTGTTCATTTGAAGATTTTTATGGTAAAAGACCAATGTGTGGTTGGACAAATCTTCAAGGTGATAAGTTTGATTGGACAAGAGCCACGGGTTCAACAGCGAGTGTTCAAACCGGACCAAGTGCAGATCATACGTACGGCACTTCTAAGGGTTAGTCTTTATTATTTCTATGAAAACTATTTATTATATTATTATCATACGAGGAAGTACCTGATCTCATTAAAGAGTGCTCAATACACATATAGTGCTGAGCTAATTATATATATATATATAATAAATACTGTCTAATGAGTGCGTAAGCACGAAACTCGGAGTAACAGCATATCTTGCCTCTTTTTTATTATATATCAGTAGAGTGCTYGCACTTAATGCGTGAAACAAATAGTACTAATTACTACTAAATAGTGTTGATCATACAATAGGAAACAAAGGAATTTGTATAAATTKATCACCTATTTTGTAGTATTTWTATTTCRCGCATTTAGTGCGAGCACTCTATTATGTTATTATAATAATTTAGTGAATATGAAATTTTGTGACTATAAAAACGGAATTTTCAAAGTATTCTATTAAAGGTCGGAGCACATCCAAGACGCAATATTTTATGAATGCTAACTATAGCTTTACTAATGGCCTATATGGAGCTAATGATCTGTCATCGATAATACTTATGAACAGGTTATTATATGTAYATCGAGACCTCCTGGCCAAGACAAAAAGGCGATAATGCACAACTATCGAGTCCATCATACCCATCCACAAAGGGTAGCTGCTTTCAGTTTTGGTATCACATGTACGGCAAGGATATCGGTACCCTGAACGTCTATGTCAAATATGGCAGTAATAAGTTGGGCCGCCCCACGTGGACTAGGTCTGGTGATATGGGTAATGTGTGGAGAATCAGCCAGTTCACCGTCAAATCTTCCACTGGTTACCAGGTACGTATGCGAAAATCAAGGGCTTACGAATAAATGCATTATTTGTAATAACAGCTTATACAGAAGAAAAATAAGGCAATTATGAATATAATAAAATATCATTTCATAACTCTTTTTGTAACATTTTGCATTTTATAACAGCGTTATTTAAAAGCCCGAACTTTCTCTGTAGTTTTTACATTTAGGTTACTYTAGTTTTCGCTATTTGAATATAATTATAAAAGATAAAAAAAATTATCATTGTAAAAGTGAATTATTAGCAATGTCAAACTATTTTAGATCATTATGGAAGGAATAGCTGGCGCAAGTTACCAAGGTGACATCGCTATCGATGACGTCCGTGTTGTTGATGGCGCATGCCCACTACCAGGTTAGTTTCCATTTACTGTTTCACCATATTTTCTTAATCGCAATTGAATCTTTAGATGTCATCATCAACACAATAAAATAGAATAATAATATAACCAATGATAATTAAATGATAACTAGGTGATTGCGACTTTGAGAAAGGCGTCTGCACATACGCACAAGAGAAAAAGGAAGATGATTTTGATTGGCTTAGAGGATCAGGGCAAACACCAAGCTGGAAGACKGGTCCATCAAAGGATCATACACTCGGCACCAAGGCCGGTATGTGTTAAATAGTATGAGATCAATACAAGTTAACGATGTGTACCATACGCGAAACACTTAATAAATTGGTTTGYTCTAACGTAATTTATACCGCAGGTCACTATATGTACATTGAGGTATCATATCCCATCAAAACTGGACAGAAGGCTCGCGTTCTCAGCCAGGACTTCTCTCCAACAACACGACGCTGTRTTAACTTTTGGTTCCATATGTATGGTGCTACCGTAGGTACACTGAACGTGTACATWAAGACTGGACTTGGAAATTCAACAAAATCTGAAMAAATGATTTGGTCATTGTCTGGAAACTTTGGTGATCAGTGGATGAACGGTCAGGCACCTATATCAAGCAAACAACGTTATCAGGTACACGAACTCCAAACGTCATCAATGRCAGTTATATTTATTCACTGTTTGATATGTTAATTCCTTTGTTGTTTGTTTGTTTTTGTTGTCTATTCAATCATTAATCCATGATATGATTAAAATCATCTTTTTTATTCTAATACCTTGATTCTTAGATCGTATTTGAGGGCATCAAAGGGAAAGGGATCAGTGGCGACATTGCTATTGATGACATCACGTACACATACTCGTACTGCCGAGTTCTTCCCTCTCTAGCAGTGCCCCCTACACCACCACCCACAACTCCTCCCCCTGTTATCAATAACTGTACATTCGAGCAAGGCTTCTGTTCATGGAACAATCTCAAGGGAGACAACTTTGATTGGACGAGAGACCGTGGTGGAACAGCATCATGGAACACTGGTCCATCCATTGATCATACGCTAGGAACATCAAGCGGTAATTTGTTATATATCACGAATTAACATTCTTGCTGTAATTTCCCTGATCTATCATAACACGTATCATCGCAAACTAAAACATTTATTGGAGAATACGTATACTATCTTGAACAAAATGGTATTCTAGGATATCTCCTTTATAATTTAAGATGAAATCAATGATTYGGTTCTTATACAGGATATTATGTCTACATCGAAACTTCCTCTCCACGAAGAAAGAATGACAAGGCCTGGTTACAGAGTGGTTTGATACAACCAACATCCGGGAACACTGGAAAATGTTTGAAATTTTGGTACCACATGTATGGTGATCACGTGGACACRTTAAATGTCTACCGTATTGCTGCATCCAAAAAAATCAAGTACGTTAAGTTGTYTTAGCCCTGTAGAAACAAACACTTTTATCTGTAGTTAATCTTTACTTTATACGGTAGCCCATTATTAGGAGCTTTCCTTTTCTTCATAAGCTCTTGGAACGGCATTTACCCCTCTTGGTGCTATTTTTAGAATTGCTCATTATAAATTCAGCGCAAAACAGCCAATCAAAAAGCGTCTTGAACAATAGGTTTCTGAATGACCGACGGCCGCGCCGGCAGTTTCGAGGAGGAAGATCTTAGTAGGAAAGCAGAATCACCTTTCGCTTCATATTTAGCCGATGAGGAAGCCAGTGATAGAAAACAGGTGTAATTAATCTTGGGAATACAGGGGGAAATCTGGAGAAAAAACAACCAACACGTATTATGAACTTTTCATTGAGCAGCCGAAGACCAACAAAATTAATTGGACAGCAAAAGCAAAACCAATCGACTCAAATCACACTCTGGATCTTTAATTGATAACCAGAATTTGAAATCAAATGGCTGTTGAAGACGAGGAACGAAGGTTCAAATTTCAAAAAATTGTATGTCATTCGTGCGGGTTCCCTGTGCTTTTTAGTCTGGGGCTTCCTTTAGCCAATCCATGCCATATATGGAAACAAACAAAATGGCCGATTGTTGAGAAATGTTTTCGCTATAATATCTGCAAGCTTCAGACGATTTCAAGCTTTAAAAGTCTGAGAAAATCGACAAAAGCCATTCCTATCGTACTTCCAAATACGGTAAGATTGCCATAGATGGCTGCTAAACGAAGGACAACTTTTGTGGGACAATTCTTTGATATATGGTACAAAAGCGGAAAACTTTCAATTTGAGCAAACTGAAGCAAGTAAGCTTAGATTAGGTTGATTGCAAATTTTTACATGCCAATGGACATTGAATGATCTTTTTGGGTTGATTCATCGGCTGTTCAAGAAAAAAGGCGCCGAAATYCCATTAAGGCTTAACTTAATTTGTGAAGAGCTTTTGTTCTGGGTGATTGATTTGCGACCAGGCCTGCATATGAATTCGCCAAGGTTGTAAGCCAGTGAGCCCGTGCATTTTTGTTAAGCGGTCATATTTGAAAGTGTAAATAAAGGAAAGGGAAAACCCGCAGCTCTCCTTTCACTCAGATAAACAGTACGTGTTAAATTTATTTACATAACTAAACAAAATGATTATAGAATTAAACCTTTAAGAATTGAATGCTCATATCAAACATTTTCCACCTTAAATACACACGTGTTTTTCAGAAGGGAATTTTGTCGAACTATTTTCACGATGGAATTTTGTTTTGAGTCGTTTCAACATAAACAGTCGCTATCAAGACATTACGCGAAAAACCCCAGTCACCGTTCTAGCYCTCGTTGTAAGGTCAAAGCTAGTAAATGTGTAACCGACCTGTTACATAACGTCAACCTGTTGTATCGTCGAGCATGCTTGCAGCTTATTGCCGATAATGCGACAAAGGATGAACTACGACTGTTGTCACTACCAAAAATAACAAACGCTTTAACTCTATTGGAATACGTGGAGCTAAGCCGCTCTAGCTCTTTCAGTGATGTTGTAGATATACCTCAAAGCTTAGAGGAAACAAGAGCTAAGAAAAAAAGGATTTGCAATGGTTCCTCCTAAGATACTTTGGACTTGAACGTCGCTTCATCGAAGTCTTCGTGAAGTCGGCCATTGCTTGGCATGCAATGGAGAACCCGCGTAGAACACAGACCAATTRTTTTAATCAGGGAGGGGAGTCTCTAGGTATTAAAGAAAAAAATATTTGTTATTTCTTTTTTAAGATAAAATTCTATTTCTATAACGATAAATGTTTGATTGACATTTAATAAAAGCTATTTTATAAAGATTTTCAATTTCTCCTTGCATTTAGCTTTGATTTTTCGGATAGAATAAAATRGCAGGMARCCTACTCCRCTSAGTCGAGTTTTGCTGTGCAAATTCCTCCCGTCGGGGGGTTATGTTTACAACATAAGCTTGTCAGCTTTGCGCTGATTGGCTAGTTGCATTTTCTCAAATCACCCAGTTTAGATGCAAAATATTGTACAAAACTGTCAAAATTTATTAAATGCTAATTTTTACATTTGTGATTTGTCGCATTTTTTTAGATGAGGAACTCATTATAAGAATAGATTATTTTGTGTTCACTGTCATGCTTTTTGATCAGATTCTTCGGTAGACCAGAAATGGCGATTCTTTCATGTATGAGCTTTTTCGCTTATTTTTTATAACTTTTCAATATCTTTAGACATTTGAATATAATAGTTAATGGTGCCATTGAACCTTTGTTACAAAATAGTTTTTGTAAAAGCGAAAATTCACTTGTACAAATATAAAATTCAATCTAAAAACACCTGACGGCGGCGACGGCGGCCGGCGGCTCTTCACAACTCGGCATCTCAATAAGCACGCGGGGAATGGCGGGAAAATCTAAAAATAGCACCAAGAGGGGTAAATGCCGTTCCACAAGCCCATGGGAAGAGGAAGGCTCCTAGTAATGGGCTCCTGCTTTATAAAAATATTTAGATTATGAAAATGCATTATAATCATCTCTATACGTTCATTGAAATGAAAACATTGTCGCTGCATGCATATCGTCTTTATGAAATTCAAACTAAAATTATGATATGTTAATGGTACCCGATATGGAAAAAACAACGGATTCTTCCTAATTCAAATTTTTTAATACACATTAAACTTTTCTTACCGGATGCATGGGAAATGTATTAAATCGATATCTTTTCTCTTTTTTGTTTTTGCTTTTTTTCTTTCTCTTTATTTAGGATATGGAGCAGAACAGGAACTCAGGGCAATAAGTGGCGATATGGCCAAGTTGACCTCATCAGTAATACTGTATTCAATGTGATGTTTGAGGGAATTCGAGGAAGTAGTTACATGGGTGATATTGCCTTGGATGACCTTGATGTTGCTGTTGGTAACTGTCCAACGCCCAAATACTGTGATTTTGAAGGAGACATGTGCAAGTGGACAAATGTTAAGGTATGCTTCGTTTATCACTTCATACGATCGATATCGTTGTACTTATTGCCGTTGTTTATAATTATATTTTTTATAGGGAGATCAGTTTGACTGGACTAGAGACAATGGTGGAACACCTTCACTCAGCACAGGACCGGCTACTGATCACACAACTGGAACCAAAAACGGTAAGCGATTGTACACATGCATTGACATGTTTGTAGAGGTTCTTATCCCTCTTTTTGTATAGGCTATTACATGTATATCGAGACTTCCTATCCACGCAAACAAGGCGACACGGCCTACCTACAAAGTAAGCAGTACCCGGCGACAAAAGGGAAACCAAGATGTTTCAACTTTTTCTATCACATGCACGGCGATCATATTGGGTCGATGAGTATTTATGTTAAGACTGGAATAACGATTGGTACAAAGGTTTGGAATATGACCGGTAACCAAGGAAACGCGTGGCAACACGGACGCGCTACCGTCTCCAGCGGTAACTTCCCATTCTACGTAAGTTCAAACTCAAGTGAGATGAATTTTTAGGTGAATTGATTACAAACCTTTATATTGAATTGATTTGTTTTAGATTGTAATAGAAGGTGTTCGAGGCTCTAGCTACAAAGGAGACATCGCTGTCGATGATATCTGGATTGATGACAATCCTTGCCCACCTCCAGGTATCGTGGCTCAATAAATCAATTAATTTATTCAATTTTAAGTTTAACTTCATCAGAAAATGACAAGGCAAATGGCACCTAATTTGCCAACATAGAAGTGTTTCTACGTCATCAATTTTAAAATACTTAATGTGTCTTGTTAATACTTAATGTGTCTTGTTAAATGTTATAGGAAGTTGTGATTTCGAACAAAAAACTCTTTGCACCTGGCAAAATGTTCAAAATGGTAACAGATCAATAGGCCTGGATGATTTCGACTGGACACTGGGAAGTGGAGGAACTGCCAGCTATCAAACCGGACCATCTATAGACCACACACTAGGAACTGCTGCAGGTTTGTTAATAGTATGGATTATTCTATAGTGTTTTTAAAGAGTTCATATTGCTCCAGTGATTTGTTGTTATATTGAATTAATATGAAGGTAACGATTAAAAAACATGTATTTTTGACACTAGATTTCTGTTTAAAAAACGATGGTCATCGTCTTGACCGAAACGTCTGAATTACAATCGTTTTTTATACATAAAGCTAGTGACAAAAATACATGTTTTTTAATTATTATGAATCCTCCTAGCTGCAATTTTAATATACTCTGAAGGTACTCGATGTATATGGCTTATAGTAGCATCCGTTCCCGATTATTAACTCTTTCTGGTAGGAAACGAAATATGATTAACGTCATTTCAGGGGGTATTCAGCTCTGAGAATTGATCACTAATAAGTTGATGYTTCGCTCTCTTTACTAATTAAGCTGATTGAATTGTATACATTGTTGTTTAGGTTCTTATCTTTTTATCGAAACGTCTTATCCTCGACAACCCGGTGACGYTGCTCGAATACTTAGTCAAACKTTTTCTGCAACTACTGGCCAATGTATGTCGTGGTGGTTTCACATGTACGGTCGAACCGTTGCTTCTCTTAACGTCTACCTCAAGGTAGGCAAGACACAGACATTAATCTGGAACTTAAATGGAACTCAAGGTAATGTATGGAAAAGAGCTGAGAAGACAATCGTAAGCCAGTCACCTTACCGAATCATAATGGAAGGAATCCGGGGYACAAGCTACACAGGAGATATTGCTTTAGATGACATCACATTCTCCAAGGGTTATTGTACAGGATTGTGCTCATCTGTTGTTCCAAAGCAGAGAGTTAACTGTGGCTTCATTGGTATTACGCAGACAACTTGCGTTAAAACACGTGGATGCTGTTGGGATTCCAGCGTGCCAAACGCGCCTTATTGCTTCTATCACCCAAGTTCGTGTTCTAGCATTAATCCACAGTTACGGCGTGATTGTGGTTACCTTGGAATCACACAATCAACATGCTATAAGAAGGGATGTTGTTGGGATGGGTCGGTACCCAATGTGCCTTATTGCTTCTATGGTCCCTCTGTTCCAACCCCCTTCCCGACTACCCGACCACCTCCAACAACCAAACCACCTTCAATATGGGACTGCACTTTTGAGAAGAACTTGTGTAACTGGAATCAATCAAAAGAGGATGACTTTGATTGGATAAGGGATTATGGTTCAACGTCATCCTCGAACACTGGACCATCATTTGATCACACGACTGGCAGTTCTATAGGTAACCGTTCCACCTTAAACTCTGTTTCAGTTTCAACTCATATTTGTTATTGTTGTTGTTTCCATTTGTTGTGCTAAACTTTAAGTTAAACTTTTATGATAAGGTCCTTATTTTGTACCCGGATTTTGTACTAAAAAATGAWTTTTTTAAATGAAGGTTACTATGTATACATCGAGACTTCTTGGCAGAATACAAATGATACAGCGGTGTTACTTAGTCCAGCAGTCCCGTCTACTTATCTTAAGCCACAGAAAATGATTTGTTTCCGGTTCTGGTATCATATGTATGGTCAACACGTGGATACCCTAAACGTCTACATGAAAACTGGTGTGCAGCTGCCTCGGCCAATCTGGACGAAGTCTGGGACCCAAGGTAACAAGTGGAGATTGGCTCAAGTAGAAATGCGAAGTAGAGTCTCTTTCAAGGTAACTCAGTTCAAATTACATCACTAACGTTAATAGGTTTTATAGTTGTGACTGATTTAATTATGATATTGTAATGATTATGGATAAATACTCTTTTTTGTAGATCGCTATTCAAGGAAAACGTGGCATTGGTTACCAAGGAGACATTGCTTTAGATGACTTTTCCKTGATCGATGGTGCATGCCCTGTGCTGCGTAAGGATTTATAGAGAAATATTTGATCAGTTTTGCTATCGTTTTAAAACGGTTTTTATTAACAAAAGTAGGAAAACAAACGTCTTGAATGTTGTGTTTTTTTGTAGAAAATTTCTGCATCGATCTATATATGTTTATATGTTTCATACTCCAGAAGACACTTTGTTTCTATTACTTTTGTTGATAGCTGAGTGYGAGTTTGAAAATCCCAATATCTGTGGATACACTCAAGACACAGGAGATATATTTGACTGGACTCAAGGCAGCGGAAACACAACAAGTATTGGAACAGGCCCTTCGACTGACCACACGTATGGAACTGCATTTGGTAAGAAACAATATTTTCGAAAAAAAAATRAAAAGGTTATGATTTACGTTGAATTATGCCATATGTATGAAATGTATGCATTATAATTAACAGCTACCAACTATGCTTTGACCACCATTTTTTGAAGTATAACTAGACAAAATTAGACTAAAAATCTGAATAACAWAGACAGTGCAGACGGCTTTCTAGTAGCTGCAGTTAAGTTGCGACATCRTGCTAAAAGGCGTATAGCCACCATTGATTAACTCCAGCTTAAATACTACAGGAGGARCCGACGGGGTCTGTTCTTCTAAATAACTGTTCTTGTACGAAGTTTTTCCGTGGAAAGAGATTTTGAGCTACATTGTTGACAATCTCACAAGCAAATGTGGCGCCCTTCCTTCATGATTATCATTCTGTTCCTGAAAAAGGTTTTTATTGTCAAAAAAGGCTTATATAACGTTATAATGGTCAAAAGGGCTTTTTTTGTTGGGAAATTAATATTTTCCTGGCAAAAATTCTTAGAAAAGTTTTCTTGCCTGGAGAGTTCTTTTTTTCCTGAATTATTCACTGGCAACCAGTTGTGCCTTACAGCAGTCTAGGGACATGAGAACATATATATTTCTTCCAGGAACCCGTCGGCTTCTCCTAATACTAATAGAATGCTCAACGGTCTCTCGTTGTATGCTTCGACACCGAGTGCAATACTTACAGTGAAGCGATAATCATGTTACTTTTTGTTTTCTTTTTTATATTCTTTGTGTGAMATGGCTTTTTGGGTTTTAGGGAGATATATGTACATAGAAACATCTTGGCCGAGAAAGCCTGGTGATTTTGCTCGCCTCACGTCACCTCTGTACGATAAGAGTGATGGTAACGGTAAATGTCTGTTGTTCTGGTACCATATGAAGGGTACTGGTATTGGGCGCCTCAATGTCTACATAAAGAAAGGTAGCAACCTCGGCAAGCCATTGTTTTCGGAGTCGGGTAACCAAGGAGATTCCTGGAATAAAGGAATGGTAACAGTCAAGAGTTTGACCCAGTGGCAGGTACTTTTACTAGATACTTTTAATAGCCTCAGGAAGTATTGCATATTCGCCGATGTCTATGACGATATTCTTCAAACTTGGTTTTTGAGACTTTTTGAGACATGGACAACTTTATGATTGTATTTCGAGTTTTGATGGAAACGCATCCCCATGGTTTCAATTGTCTTATTTATTTAGGCTGTATTCGAAGGCATTCGTGGACGAAACTATAAAGGCGATATAGCCATTGATGATGTTAGCGTTCTTAATTACCCGTGCCCAGACCCCGCCAGCTGCGATTTTGAGAGAGACACCTGTGCTTTTACCAACGATTTAAGTGGTGATAAGTTTGACTGGCAGCGACATATGGGACCAACTTCAAGTGTATCAACTGGTCCAAAGGTTGACCATACGTTAGGAACAGCACAAGGTAATTAAACACTTCATTTATTTCAATAGTTTCAGAATGCTCAAACTCGACCGTGGAACTGTCAGTACTAAATTATGTTTTATTTTGTACATGGAATTGCAGGATATTATATGCTTATCGAGGCGTCGTGGCCTCGTAAACCGGGTGATCTTGCGCGACTGACATCAGGACGCCTTCGTATTAAATCAAGCTACAGGTGGTGTATGTCGTTTTGGTATCATATGTATGGAAACAGTATGGGTACGTTAAGAGTGCGGCAAAGGTACATCCCTAAATCAGGAAGACCTTACATGAGAACTGTTGCTTACTTTTCTGGAAATCGTGGAGATAACTGGCTGTGGAAGCAAGTCCAACTAAACAGCGTTGATGACTTCCAGGTAAGTCTTTCACTTTAGTACTGATCTAAAAGACCAAAAATATATTGAAATTAAAAATATTGTAACGGATTAATTTTGCACTGAAGAAGATCTGAGACCAGATCGAAACGTCTGATATTAAAAAAATTTTAATTTTTTTTTAGCTTAAAAGCTAGAGATAACTAGATATTTGTACTACTATATTGAAATTAACTTCAGTTTATTAGCTTTGTGTCTGTTATGATTACTCGTGTGCGTCATTTAGTTTAGTAAACCTGTTTTCCTTCCTACCTGTGACTTTGTCAGTCTGAATTGTGGTTTAGTTATTTGTTGTAGACACACAAAGAGCATAATTGAAAAACGTTTTGTTGCCGGTTTCAGGTTGTATTTGAAGGAGTGGTTGGCTCATCATATGATTCAGACATTGCTATCGATGATGTACTTGTGACCTCTGGCACATGTCCCGGTAAGTTGGGGGATTTCGGGAAGTGTTGTTGTGWCTTAAAAAAAGAACAATAAAAGACTGACAGCAACTACAAACATAAAGAAAAATRTCAAAACGTGTTAGTGTTAATGCGATGTCAAGTATTAGTGAAAAATGGGGAGAAATTTTCTTTGAAACAATGTGTTTGAAAAAAAAGTTGAAAGACMAAYTTTTTGTCCAGAAGACAATTAAGCGTATACAGTTGWTCAAGATCTTTTTTATCGACAGGTCGTAAATTTCACAGCATTCACTTCGTACTTTTTCATAATAAGATTCATTAGTTTRAAGCGAAGCGTATTTGCAATAATTGCATTCTTTRATTAAAACGTAATTTACCCCCGTCCTTGTTTTGTCTTCATCGTTTACGTGGTCGATGMTTATTTTCTAAATTAACTCAGCGGCTGTATAACGGCTGTCGTAAGTYATTAACACCACTTAACTGCTTTAACCAACAWTATGAGCTTTGTTTTCAGCTCCAACACCAAAACCCTCGCCAAATCCGTGCGCAGTCAAATGTAAAAATCAAAAGTGTGTATCATCTGATAAGGTCTGTGATTTTGTAAACGACTGTGGGGTTGGAGATGACTCAGATGAAAARTCATGTGCRGCTTGTACATTTGAACAAGGTACGTTTTATATAAGAATTAGAATCGATGAAACTTTTAATGTAACTAGTGACGAAGACAATCAGTAGTAGAAGCAAATGACCATGCTCGGCACATATACAGCAGAGTATTCCTACTCATAATGTTTTTATTCTTTTTGAATGGTTTGCTTTCAGGAACCTGCAGCTGGAATGAGACTAGCTCAGGCTCGTTTAAGTGGAATCGTGATCGTGGTGGTACTCCTTCGTCCAATACGGGTCCTTCAGTGGACCACACCCTTGGTAAGGATATTGTGATTCATATGTCAAATCTATTGAATTGTGATCAATGTTTGTTGGTCAAACTAATCTATCCATAGGAACTGCACTTGGTTACTACATGTATGTTGAGGCTTCCAAAGGCAGCTCATATGACTTGGCAAGACTAGAGAGTGGTTWCTTRAAACAAGCAGCTGCTACTTGTGTTCTTAAGTTTTGGTATCATATGTATGGTAATGGAATTGGGAGTTTATATGCATACATCAAGGTTGGACTTGTTTACACCAAGTTATTGGAAATTAATGGAAACCAAGGTAAAGTGCAATCATTAAACATAAATTAACACAATGAAACTTGTATTTGCCACAAAGYTAGTTATATAAAAATAATAAATTTTACATGTAAGAAATATCTAAAATTCTCATAATTTGCATAAAGAGGTGYAGAGGTAATAGCGAAGATCTGTTGATAGCTGTATTGACTACTTAAAACAGGAAACAAGTGGAAGCAAGGAACTGTATACATCTCACGGCGATCAGCTCCTTTCAAGCTTCTCTTTGAATCTGAGCGAAGTTACAATGTGTTTGGGGACATTGCCATCGATGACGTCAGTCTTAATAACTGTGCATTACCACCTGTCMGGCCACGATGTCCATACTACCAGTACACGTGCGCACGCAAGGCTTGTATCAGTAATAACCGAGTATGTGACTACACAGACGACTGCGGTGATCGCTCTGACGAGAGGAATTGTTATAGCTATAAGTAYCGTTGTACATTCCAGTACTACTTGTGTCGATGGCGGCAGGAGAAGAATAGTGATGACTTTGACTGGACAAGGAAMCGTGGCTCTACAGCTTCTTATCAGACCGGACCAATGTTTGACCACACCTATGGGACAGCTACCGGTAAGCCTTCACTGTATGGTGTCTTATACTTTAGGATTATGTCCAATCACGAATGGATTATTGGGTATAATATTAGKGGATTTRGCTGACGTCAGTGTTTTGGCTCATTAAAAGGATGCTTCACTTWTATACAAAAACTAAAGCAAGCAATCTTCATAGAAAAKTTAGTTTTCGTGCTAAACGGCGACAAAAGTGACAATTTTTAGTAAAATTACATATATTGGACTCTTTCGAGCTTTTGAAGCCCAACACTACCAAAGGCAAAATCTCTAACCAAAACACTGTTGATCTTATTGTTTCGCGATATACTGTTTAAAATGATTGTCAATAAGCTTGTAACTTTCGAACGTATTTATATATTTCATCCTAAAGCTTATCAGAAAATCCATTGAATCCCAGGTTATTATCTATATGCTGAGGCGTCTTGGCCGAGAAGGCAGGGCGACAAGACTTGGTTGGTTAGTGGTTTCCTTGCTAGTACACCTAAAGGCAGCACCACGTGTCGACTTAGGATGTACTACCATATGCTRGGTAGCAGCATTGGATCGTTGAATGTCTACACTAGACCCTGCAATGGATGTGCTCTCACACAAGTATTTACCAAGAAGGGAGAAGTTGGRAACTATTGGGAACGAGCTGAGGTCATTTTGAAGAGTGACTATCCTTTCCAGGTTTGGATATGCGTATTTAATACAATGTGTTGGTATTATATTGATATCGATAGCATAATGATATTCTTACTACTATAATATAAAAAAGGGTAACACCTAATAGCGGAGCTCCAATTGTATTCGTATCTGGATAAATGAGAATGATTGTCTAATACTCAGTACTATTTGAAYGATACAGTTGTGCGTGTCSTAGCGAACGAACGAACCATCGAAATGAATCAAATTTGCAAGTTTGCAATTATGCAGTATATACTGCGATATAACTCTTTATCTATACGTTATGTATAAAAATCTCTTATTGACCGCACATGACGTCCTCGATTGCCTATTTTTATCTTATTCCTAAAGGTGAGTCTAAAGGACGTTAAAATGCTTGAAAATAAATTGCTTTTCATCTTTCGCTAATCGATTTCTTGGATGTGCACACGCTTCGTAGTTTGACAAAATTGGCAGAAATCTCAGTTTCTTTGTTGTTGTTTTTTTTCTTGTGATTTATTTTTCAAATAAGATCAATTTCGAAGATACTTGTTTGAAGGTTCTAAAAAGATCGTCTAAAAAGATTCTACTTTTMWATAAATATTTTGATCATCATTTTCGCGAGGTTATGAGTTTCCTGTGGTGGTAMACATGAGACAAACTCAACAGTCGGGAACCCTGATTCAATGTTTCACCACTTTCTCTTATATTTTGTGCTCCGCTGGCTTCCCTTCTGTCCGCTCGAGAGCTCCGCTATTACGTACATGCCTTATTATATCAATTTCATGAACTTATTGTTTTATGTTTGCAGGTAGTGATAGAAGCCGTGATTGGTTCGAGCTATGATGGTGATATTGCCATCGATGATCTCTCTATGACCCAATACTGTCATCTTTATTCTGGCCCAGTCCCTACCGCGCCACCAGTCGTTACAACTAAACCACCCATACCGTGTCCATACCTTAACTTTAGATGTAACGACGGTACCTGCATCCCAATACAACAAAGGTGTGATTACCAAGTACAATGCAAGGATGCTTCTGACGAGGACGGCTGTGGTAAATATGATGAGTGTGACTGACAGTAGCTTGATTATAAGTAACGCAAGATTCAAAGTTAGAAATTGAGTATCAAAATTCTACTTATTGAATCAAAACCAATGCTTGATGATTAAACTTAAAGTTATTTTATGCCATTTTCAGAGTTTCGTTCTGCATTTTGCATCGTTTGCAGTTTACACATTTTGTATATTATTAATTTAGATTTAGTAAGGAATGCACATGAGCACAGTATGAATTCATCGATTCATCCTGTAAACGTCGTTTAGGTCCTTGTGACTTCGAGTCGGGTGTATGTGGCTGGAACGACGTCAGTGCCGGAAAATACAAATGGACGCGTCATTCTGGTAGTACACCGTCTGTTGGTACCGGTCCATCGGTGGATCACACATGTAACAACAATACATGTAAGTGACACAATGTGCTATGACATTCTCCGGCGTTATTTGGGATAACCAATTATTAAACTTTGGGGCGAATTTTGTGATATGTAATGTAATTACTGGAACTTCAAGAAATGAGTCTTGTTTATAGAATAGAGTTACTTAATATTACCACTGTACAACGCTCCCTTCTCTCTCTTGACTMTTTTGAGGGTATCATGTAAGACTGGACATAATTTCCACCCTGACTCTCGTCTTGTGTTCTTTTTATTCAGTCAGTATCCATAGAACGTCTRGTTATTAATATACCGTAAATCTGTACATAAACCTGGTAAACGTTTCTTAAGTGATTTTTTCCAGAAACTTTGACATTATTGCCAGATCAATGAAGTATGTATGGTTGTTCATGTTGTAGGCTATTACATGTACGTAGAAGCAGGTTCAGGATCATTCTTCTCGAAAGCAAAATTAAAGAGTCCCAACATGACCAAGACAGGTGCAGGTTGTGCAATGCAGTTCTGGTATCATATGTATGGCAATAGTTATAGTGACATGATTGTCAGATTGGCCTATAAGGGCGGTGTGTCTACGATCTTTGAAGCCAGTGGTAACAAGGGTAACAAATGGAATAAGGTKATGATTGGTCTTGGAGCATTGGATAAAGGTACATAACATAATTATCGGACAACAATTTTGTTCAGCATGAAACCTTTCAAAGTGTCTGTTTTACTACCATCTTCGCCCTGTTACATAGAATAGGAGACTGTCCGAGTTATAAAACCCATTTTTTTTATTCTTCACTTGTAACCATGTCATGCAAATTACAAATTGAATTAACGCCAATAATCGTTGAATTTCATCATATTTTTTGCCGTGTTCTATGGATAAAAAGCACTCAGAAAATAGTTCGCATGATCGATAATCGCACTCTTAGTGAATATTACCTTCATTCCTAGTTGAATTGTAATRAATATTATTTTTTTAAGAAAAACTAATTTTGCCTTTGATTTTAAATCTTAGGATTYCAGATATCCTTTGAAGCAAATAAGTTTTTCACWGCGTCAGACATGGCAGTCGATGATATATCATTCCCAGGCTGTGCACTACCTCCGCGTAGAGCATGTCAAACTGGCGAATATCGCTGTACGAGAGGATCGTGTGTTCTACCAACGCAGGTATTTAAATCGAGTCCTTATTTCAGACAAAACTATCCTKGGTAACTATCCTGTAATTTCATTTTGCCCTGATGATGGACAAGTTGTCCGAAAGCTCGGTAACCAATAATTCAACGTAGAAGAAGCATACCTTAGYATTTCATMCTGGGTCAATCTCTCGACTCGACAAATCCTAGTTATTGATTGGGTGCTTAAATCACACATACTAAATAACTGACACATCTTTAACAAAACGACAWTTTATCCAAACTCCCCTTTACTAAGATAAATTATTCTATATTTACTTTATTTTTGATAGTTTTCTTATTTCCGAAAAAAGAATCCGATTAATACTGTTGGTTCATCAGTTTCATTATTTTTTTTATAATATCTCTTTTGTTGCTTCATTAAATGCGCTATAATAATGTTTGTAGATTTGTGATTTCTCCGATGACTGTGGTGATAAGAGCGATGAGCTTCTAAAAACATGCGCAACGTATAAGGAGCGTTGTAACTTCGATACTGACATGTGTCGCTGGAATCAAGATACTGATGACATCTTCGACTGGAAACGAGATAATGGTGGTACTAGTTCATCCATGACGGGGCCTGGAAGAGACCACACAACAGGTATGAATAAACGWGGAAGAARTTTGATATTGGCAGAGTTTCAGAGCTGTCTTCTTGGAATTAACAASGCCTCGAAATTGATGCCAAGGAATCAAGGGCAATTGTCGTTACMGATTGTTGCTAAAAAATAATGTTCTTTACAGGTTCCACGAAAGGTTATTATCTATACATCGAAACTTCTTCACCAAGAAAGCAGAACGACACAGCTCGTATTAGCAGCATTGTATTCAGAGCATCGTCTGCTTCTGATAAGTGCAGTCTTCGATTTTGGTACCACATGTATGGTGCCCATGTCGACACGTTGAATGTGTATCTAAGGACATCCGTCATTGGATCRATGAAAAATGTCTGGAACAAAACCGGTAGGTTGAACTGAAGATATTGACTCGAAATACCTATAGTTTATTTTAATCACAAGTTCTATTTGCTCTCTGTAGGTAACCAAGGTGATTTCTGGTTCCGTGGCGAGGTGCCTATTGTCAGCGCAGTAAACTACCAAGTTGTGTTTGAGGGTATTAGAGGTCCTAGTTACCAGGGAGACATAGCCATAGACGACATCTCCTTTACACCAGGATGTAAACCAGATACTACAGCTACTATTTCACCTGGCATTGGAACCCCCACGCCACCAAGCGGATGCAAAAGTGGTCAAACGAAGTRAGTTGAAATTCCTCCTGAGGCTGTATTTAAATAATTGCAAAAATGGTCCTACATTGTAAAAAAGGTTGTCATTCCGTATCAATGTTCTTCAGCTACTATCTTTTAGCTTACTGTCAATTGCAAAATAACCGATCACTACAATTTCTCGTATCAAAGTACGATGTGGATATTACCTTCTTTATATTTGTTTGAAAAAATAAAGAAATTAAATTCTCAATACAAKGCAAGGATTCGCCGAGTAATGGTTGAAGGTGATTGAAGATAATTGTGTAATAATTTCATAGGTGCCCTTCAAGCAGTAAATGYATTCCAGTTAGCGCTGTGTGTAATTTCAAGGATGACTGTGGTGACAATTCAGACGAATCTACCTGTCCAGCGACATGTGACTTTGAGAAGGACCAGTGTATGTGGGTGAACTCAAAAGTTGATAAGTATGACTGGACAAGAAACCAAGGACCAACACCTACCAATGGTACTGGCCCATCTGTAGACCACACCAAGGGAACGGCTGCAGGTCAGTGAAMTCATTTCAATGATAGCCGAAGTCATGATTTTGAGAAAGGGAAATGTCTGGTTCTGGAACCACGGAAACCAATGTACTACCGTACTTTCGTCATGATAAAATGCATGTTCAAAACTTAATAGCTATATTGAGTTATACGAATATGACCGTATAYTTTATGCTTTTATACCAGGAYATTACATGTACACTGAAGTCAATAACARACCAGGATCATTCAATGATAGAGCYGACTACATCAGTCCATTGTTTAGACAAGCAGGGCGAAGCTGTAAGTTTACATTCTGGTATCACATGTATGGWAGGAATATTGGATTTCTGCGAGTCTATTTGAGAAGAAATGGTCGTGACAGACRATTACTCTCGATGCTCGGTAACAAAGGCAACACATGGAAGCAGGCGTCGGTTACTATTCCTCCTTGCACTAATGACTTCAGGGTAAGATGACTGCTATTGTATACTATAAATAGCGCTAAATATGAATTCTTGTGTGGTTTGAACACCTTTATCGATTTTGTATTACATCACTGGCGAGCCATAAAGTGGCGGGAAAAACRCKAAAAATGCAATGCGAAAATAATCATAAGTTTTCTTCCTTCTCTTCCACTTCTATTTATTTTGTTCATCATTCTCGTTTCTTCTGATTTATCAATTTCTATTCTTTCGTAGATTATCATCCAAGGACAACATTATTCGAGCGCTTTACTCGGTGACATTGCTATTGATGATGTCAATTTCCAAAACTGTGCACAACCCACACCTCCCTCGTCCTGCTCAGGAAGTCAGTTCACCTGTGACAGTGGYCATTGCATCAGTCAGGGTGCTAAGTGCGATTTCGAAAGAGATTGCTGCGATGGAAGTGACGAAAAGAATGGCACCTGTACTGCATATTCACGGTATCTTCACAAATAATAAAATCAATTATWAACATCGAAATACCTGACAATGAATTCCTGTTTCTAGTATCATGTTCTTTTAGAAATCTTTAACATACATTYTAACTTTGAATTATTAATGTATTGCTGTTGATATTTTTAAGATGCAATTTCGAAACTGGCATTTGTTCATGGACTCAACTTAAAAATACTGATCAGTTTGACTGGAAACGCCAGTCTGGACAAACAGCCTCATGGAGTACTGGTCCTAGTATAGACCATACATCCAAGTCAAGATATGGTACATGCTATGTTTTGTAGACATTCTTATAGAGTGGATTTCGTATGAGTGGGAAACGGACGGTACTGTACTGTGACCGTAATCGTACTGTAACCAAATTCTAGTGCCCCATTGGTTCACAAAAATTGTGCAGGCCAGGTCCGGTAACTCTGCGGTAACCGTGCGGTAACCGTGCGGTAATTTCTACCGTACGTTTCCCACTCAAACGAAATTGACTTTACTTTCAATTGTTAAGTTATGCGTAAAACCTACTTATCATATGCTAGCAAAGGCAGTAGTCAGGGAAAGATTCGTGCATATATCGTTACTACTTTTGCAGGAAATAAATATTTATCGCTTKCGCTCTTTAAGGTTATTATGTATACATCGAATCGTCATCACCAAGAAAGAAAGGAGACAAAGCACAAATAGCGAGTGAATTCTTTAAATCAAGCACCACTTGCACACTGAGGTTCTTCTATCACATGTATGGTAGAAGTATAGGTACTCTCAATGTCTACACACGTACTAGTACTACCGCATCAATGAAAAGAATATGGACGATGAGCGGGAACAAAGGTGATGTCTGGCGACGTGGTACTGCCAGCATTAACAGTCCGTCCTCTAACTTCCAGGTATAACAGCGTATCCTATATTGATTTAATATATAGAGTATAATTTCTCGATATACTAAAATAAAGATGAATTTATTCCAGGTTGTTTTCGAGGGTGTAGTCGGATCATCATACACCGGTGATATCGCTCTTGATGACATCTCGTTCTCCTCCAACTGTGTGCCTGTGAATGCCCCCACACCTACCCCATCAGTCGGTCCTTGTGGGGCTAACAAATTCCAGTGCAATGGACCTGCAGGCGGAAAAGTCTGTTTGGACAATTCTAAAAAGTGTGATTTTTCAAATGACTGTTCTGATGGGTCAGACGAGAGCGCGTCGACATGCGGATTTCCTTGTGGATTCAAGAAGGACACGTGCAGCTGGAMGAATAGCATTACGGATAATTTTGATTGGAAACGACACAAAGGATGTACGGCTAGTGTTAGTACTGGCCCGTGTACCGACGCTGACAATAACAAGCAAGGTAAAAATCTATATATACAATTAAACGAAGATCAATGAAGCCTGTTCCATCTCCTACGACGTATCTCATTGCTAATACATTTTCAGYCGCACTCTAGCTGCTTTCGCTTCTTCATRTCACCAGTTTTCTCACTTCAGYCGCTTGACCTCGATGACAGTAATGCTATATTATCGGCGAAGTAAACGTATATATTCTAATTTAGAGGCGCACTTGCATCCGAGATTCTTTTTGATCGTTTGTTTTGTGTTGAAAGAGACCTGTTGTTTAAAGCTGTTTTCTGATTGCGTCAAAATCTCTCGAGCACGATGATAATCCTCCCCCCACTTTCCTCTTCATCCAAAAAAAACAGCGAAAAATTACTGAACAACGCGAGAAGGAAACGAATGAAAGTCTATAACGTCTCAGCGATTTCCCGAAAATGAGAAAAGTTCACAATGGTTCGAGCATGCGTGGTCCTTTATRTATGCCATTTTCCAGTTTTTAATAAACGTCAATTTTTATAGCAATCCACCACAATCTTTAACCTAGCCCTCTCAGACTGACTGTTAGCAATGTTGACTGTAATTGGCATTCAGCGTGCTAAAAAGAAAGCTTGAAGACAAACAGCATTTGCGTAGACTTAGACTTTGTATTCAGAAACGCTTCAATTGACCAAAATTATTGTGTTGTAGGGTACTATGCTTACATCGAGACATCTACAGGGACAATAGGTAACCGAGCWGTGTTAGTAAGTCCACTCTACCAACGCGCGTTTGCTAGGTGCCAGTTGACGTTYGCCTATCACATGTATGGCAGGTCTATCAATAGATTAACTGTGTATGTCAATACTGGCTCTCAAAGATTTGCAATATGGACTCTTGGTGGTAAGTACCTTATAACAAGCAACAGAATTTATTTTGCTTATAGTAAATGACTACTCCCGCGGAATAATGATTCGCTTCCAATGTTGTCCTTGTATGCTTTGCTTTCCGTCTTAAACACTTTATACACGCCATCATTACTGTGGTAACAGGTAACCAAGGTAATTCYTGGAAAACTGCGTACGCTTCCATCGGTCGCCAAACAAAGACTTTTACCATCGAGTTTGAAGCAAGACGTGGTATCTCGTACCAAGGCGATATTGCTATTGACAACATYAATATGATTAGTTGTGGACTTCCGCCTTCCTGCAGCAACCCAACATCGGATTCTATCAGGTAACAAGAAGGATAATGATAATTATTTCGTTGSTACTTGCTCAGATTTTACGTTTTATCTCTATTTKTTTTCCCAATTCATTCCATTCAATCAATGTATTGTGTATTTATTCAGGTGTAAGAACGGTGCCTGCGTCAAAAAGACCACTTTGTGTGATTTCCAGGACGATTGTGGTGATAGCTCGGACGAATCATCTTGTTCTGGTTATATGAGATGTAACTTTGAGAGCAACCTTTGCTCCTGGACACAATTGAACGACGACACTAAAGACTGGACAAGGCAAAACGGTTCCACGCCYTCCTGGAATACTGGACCAAATAGAGATCATACCCTGGGCACACCAGCAGGTATTTATAATCACAAGCAACTAGACGAAACAACGTTATGGACGTAAAAGTTCATGATTAACAAGAAGATGACCTATTTRAAATTGTATTCTTCTTTTTATATTTGTCGTGTTCAATACAAGTACGCGGTTTTATGAGTCATTTAGTCATGGCTTCTCTTATAGTAAAAAGAGTATTTGATAGCATTTCCAATCAACTGCGTTCTGTCTTTTAGGTTATTATTTGTATCTTGAAGCATCAGGAGGTAGATACGGTGACAATGCTCGTCTAGCGAGTCCAAATCTCCAGGGTTCATGTACACTACGTCTGTTTTATCATATGTTTGGCGTGCACGTGAATGCTCTTAACGTTTACGTTAGAACAACTCGTGATGGTGCTGGGGTCAAAGTTTCAACCGTTAAAGGGCAACAAGGAGATAACTGGCTTAGGCTTGAGGCACCCATYTCAACCACAAGTAACCAAGCATTCCAAATCATTATTGAAGGTATTTAACTAAACAAGATATGAAAATAACAAACAGCCAGACAACATTTTATGCAAATTTCCTTTATTCGTGTGCTCTCTATTAAAACCAACTTTCCCGGTAAATTAAAAAACAATTTTCCGTGTACAATGCTGCCTAAAACAATTCTATTCMGGTGTTGYTTGAAATCCACTCCAACACTGAATATGGAAAGTGGGATTCGCAGGATTTACAGGGGATTTACTTGTAAACGCCSAGCTATGAAAGTWTAAAAACAACAAAAATACRAAGAGGGTATCAAGCGCAGATTCAGTAGCTGCAGCGTTATTGGGTTACAATAAATATACTCTTTCAGTATCTATCAAAAAAGGTTTTTTCAAAAACATAACTATGTTCAACAATGCTTATTTATAGCTGTTAGAGGAAGAACKTATTCCTCGGATGTCGCCATTGATGACATAAGTCTCACTCCTGGATGTAAGCTATACACTGGAGTACTTCCAAGTGCTCCTCCAACAAAGTTCCCMCCACCAACTACAGCRGTACCCAACAACTGTAATAGTCTTCAATATGGCTGTGTAACTACTGGTCAATGTATAAATAAGAACAAGTATTGTGACTTTAACGTTGACTGTACTGATGGATCAGATGAATGGAATTGTAGTAAGTGCCTTTGTATTCACCGCTCTGATTGGCTAAGTATACAATAGAAAACTCTGTTTTGCTCTATTGATTCACACTCTTGCTAGTCATAAGTCAAGAAAAGCGACGGACGTTTCTTACAAATATAMGCGCTTTATCTTGTCATAGAAATTTACTAAGTGAAATAGAGTTCATGACTTTTTTTTCATGTTTACTTAAGAATCCAATTGTACATTTGAGTCCGGATTCTGTAACTGGAAAATCTCTCCTGACGACAAAGATAACTTTGATTGGAAGCGCAAACAAGGACGGACACCAAGCTGGGGAACTGGACCCTCGGTCGACCACACCCTTGGTACTAACAAAGGATACTACTTGTACATTGAGACTTCATATGGAAGCATAGGAAACAGAGCCAAGCTTCTAAGCCCTACTTTTTCAACGGTATGGTTCGAAAATGAACACACGTATTTTTGGCAATTCAGCGAAWTTTTTTGAAGTTCCATACAGTTTTGAACTTTTRCGCTGGTATAACTAGAAAATGATTATAAAAACGATAGAAACTGAATTATAACTGTTTCATACATSTAATTGGTTTAAACTTTCCCATAAACAACCAGGCGTAACTATCATTTGTTTTATTTTAATTCACACCTGAATAATTATTTTAGGATTTTAGGATTTGAGTTAGATGGTAACGCGTTAAGTGATTAGTTGATTGTTATTTTGTCCTGTCAAATTATTTGTTTGTTTAGGTGATCAGTATGAWGTTTTTATTTCATTTCTAGTCGTTCTCTAACTGCAAATTGATCTTCTGGTACCATATGTACGGTTATTCGATTGGCTCTCTTTCTGTATATCTCAACATCACCAACAGGCTGAGTATGTGGTGGTATAAGTCTGGCAACCAAGGCAACAACTGGTTCAAAGGCGTGGTTGGTATAGGCAAGCAAACTCAACCTTTCCAGATCCTCATCCAAGGTACAGCGTATTAGCGTTTGGATATAGTTTAATACACGTTTGAATTTAGTTTAATACGCGTTTAATTTAATTAACTTTAATCATGCTATCTTATCAGCAACACGTGGCCGATCCTACCAGGGTGATATTGCTATCGATGATCTGGTTTTCGATGGTTGTTCTCTTCCACCCAAACAAACCTCATGTGGAAATAAGGTCCGGTGTCGAAGAGGATCTTGTGTCAGTTCTGACTACGTGTGTGACTTCAATGACGACTGTGGTGACAGCTCCGACGAATCAAAATGCTGTAAGTTTATTGGTTTCTTATTTTTCTTATTAATTTCTGATGGATTAATGACCATATAAATTATAATTATTTTTTCGATCGAATTGTTGGCATTGGTTGATAGTTTTATTGGTAGGTTAATTAATGATAAAATGTTAGTTGATCGAGATCGATTAATGGAATTAGCGATTTATTAGGTTAATAAAAATATTTATGGATTAATTTGTATTGTATTTCAGCTGCTTACAAAAACAGGTGTGACTTCACATCTGGACTGTGCAGTTGGAAACAAAGTAAGGAAGACGATTTCGAATGGACAAGAAAAAGAGGTATAGTTGTTTTTGTTGCATCCGCTAACTTTGCATGAAAATTTTATCTACTGAGCAGATTCCCTACCATTTCAGCAGATAATTCTTCGATCCCCGTTGGGCGTAGGAACGGGAAGTTGTCATAAGTGCTAAATAGTAAAAGATTGAAAAAAGTGACAGATTGTTGGGGGAAAAACTTACATATTTAATTGTTACTCGTCACCACATGTAATTTGCTACAAAGTAAAGCATGTCTCATATCCCGATTGCATTATCATACATAGCTAAAAGACATTCGTCCTGTATTGCTATTTTATAAGGATCGACGTCATCGTGGAATACTGGGCCTCCAGGTGACCATACAACAGGTACAGGATATTACTTGTACACAGAAACATCTTGGCCAAGAAAGTACGGTGATCGCGCCTGGCTAGTGAGCTCTAACTTCCAGTCAATATCGCCTTCAGTAAAGAACTGTAAATTGAGGTTCTTTTACCACATGTATGGCAACTCAGTGGAGAAACTCCATGTGTATATCAGAACATTCCAGAACGGCAGTGTTGGACAACCAATCCTTAAGCTCGTTGGTGGGCAGGGATCAGCCTGGAATAGAGTTGTTGTGCCTTTGTCTTCATCAAAGAATTTCCACGTAAGAAAGTGACATTTCATTTTAGAAGAACCGTTCCATTTTATTAATTAACACAGTTGCTGAGTTTATCATCTATGTTGCTGTTCCTATCATTGAAGACTTTACTAGCATAATTTCTGTAAGCTGCTATTGACTATCAGGTCGCCGTTTATTATATCCTAATAGAATACAGCTACTACTGTAATATCCGTGGATATTGTCCTTAAATGACCCTCAAAATATCACGAAACAACGCTTCTCGGGCAAATGTTCTCTTTTTGGAAAATTTTCCAATCTCGGGCATTATCTGCCGATATCCCAGTCGCCGGTTTTATTTACTAAACATTCATTCTGGTTCTGTTGCGTTTGTTTGTCTGATTTTATTGTTGCAATGGCTACGATAATATCTTCAAATTCAAGGGATACTTGCGATACTTGTAGGTTGTTATTGAAGGAGTTCGTGGTGACAGTTACGATGGCGACATAGCGATTGATGACGTATCCTTCACGCCATCGTGTATTCCATTCAGTGGTCAGCTTCCTGTTGCACCTCCACCCACTCCTACTCCCAAGCCTCCAGTGACTCCGCCCAGCACCTGCACTACGGCTGAATTTAACTGTGTTAAAGAAGGGCCTAATGCATGCATTCCTACGACTCAGGTATTTAACAGATCATTCTTGCTTTTAATAGGAAGCCATAGTAAAAATAAAGAGCGAAGATCTAATTCGTGCATAAAATAGATAAATTCATCTTAATCGATTATGAGGAGATGACTAGACACTTGCTCAACGTTGACTGTTTTAGTGCTCATGCGTTACAGCTCTCCCTTTCAGGTTTGTGACTTTAGACCTAATTGCAAGGATAATTCAGATGAGGCTAACTGTGCAAGCGCCAGTTGTGATTTCACAGGAGGTAGCTTCTGTGGATGGTATGTTGATAACCCCAGTCGAGTCAGGAGAGCGTTACCATACACCTGGCTCGTACAACAAGGAACAACAGCCACACCCGGAACAGGACCTTCCACTGACCACACCTCTGGTGAGTGCACGTTTTGTAAACTAAGACTGCCATTTGTTCATCTATTTTTAGATTTCTTATTTTCCATCGTGACTTATATCGACCGAATACCACTCTAGGTACATCAAACGGTTGGTATGCTTATGCCGAGAGCTCCGCAGGACAGTCGGGCTCGATAGCACCACTAAAGACACCTCGCATCGGACTATCAGGTCCAAATTGTGCCTTGTCGTTCTGGTATCACATGTATGGTCAAAGCGTAGGTACATTGTCGGTTAAGTTACAATTCGTAGATGGCAGTACTCCTCTCTTATGGAGCAAGTCTGGTAACCAGGGCAATCGATGGATTAATGCCAACGTTCTTATTGGCTCAAGACAATTATTCCAGGTAATTCATCATATTTAAAACTATATGTATAAGTTATAGTTAACAGTGCATGCATACGAATCTGGTGCTTAGGGAGATTTTTATGTGTATAGATCATCTTGGAGGCTAAGCGCATCTCAGGATACAAAGGTGATATAGCAATCGACGATGTTCAAATGAAGAACTGTAAACCTTTAGACGTTACTCGATCTTGTAACAAAGATGAATTCAAGTGAGTGCCACTTCTTCAGCTGAGTTTGATCTCCTTGCATGGTTATCTAGCGTTTTCTAAGTAGTTGTATTAATTGTTTATGTTGTCGTGTTTAGATGTTCACGAGGTGGCTGCATACCCAAAACAAGCGTTTGTGACTTCAAGTCTGATTGCATGGCTGGTGATGTTTCTGATGAGTCGTCATGTTCGTTGTACCCTGGACGATGTGACTTTGAACATGGACTATGCATGTACAGCCAATCACAAGACGACAAGTTTGACTGGACAACTGGTACTGGTGGTACTAGCTCRTATGGTACTGGACCAAGCGCTGATCATACCACTCAATCGCCTAAAGGTATAGAGATATCAATCCATTTTGGTACTAAACAATCTCCTCAGAAGTTTTACAGCAAACGGAAGTCTAGTCCTTCTCTTAGCAGGCCATTCGAGTTTTGTCTTCACTCTGTAATTAGCATTAAGTCCTTTAACGAGCTACTCGCATAACTATGACGTTTCGGCATTTTAGATAAATCGTGATCTAACACATTTAATTTCAGGACACTACCTGTATACCGAGACGTCTTGGCCACGTAAACCAGGCGATAACGCACGTTTGAACTCACCAATCATCAAAAGTACATCGACTGCATGTAGTTTGCGATTCTTCTATCATATGAAGGGCAGTCATATTGGAAGTCTCCTTGTGAGTTATTATTCATTACATCTTGACATTATGGCTTGTCTCATTATTGCCAACACCAGTCATTTCTTGGATATTTCCAAATAGTTATGATTCTTAAGACTTCTTTGTACGTGGGATGCACAATTATCAAATAACAGATTCTTGTACGTTGAACCATATCATTTTATTTTCCAAGCTTTCGAATCAATCGATCCACGTTAGGGGAACTAAGGTGATACAAATGACTTAAAGGGTTAAAAAAATAAATATATGACGAAAATGCAAGGACGGAGTTCACTACACGCTTGCTCGGAGTTCGGACATAGACGAAGGTGTTATGTTTTCATTATAATTCTGTAAGAGATATTTATACACATACACCTAAAATTTTCAAAGAGAAATAGAACATTTTTGTTTAGTTAACTGCTGGAATTGAAATGGTTTTACGTTTTATGTACAGGTCTATACACGAACATCATACTACAACGGTGGTCTGTCCAAGGCTTTGTTTAATCTCACCGGTGCACAGGGAGACTTTTGGTACAGAGGAATTGTCACAGTTAACTCTGCCAGCTCAGATTATCAGTTTGTCATTGAGGGTGTAAGAGGCATAAGTTACCAAGGCGACATAGCTATTGACGATGTTTCCATGACAACAGGCTGTACGATTTGTAAAGACTGCGTTATGCCAGGTCAGTTCGAGATTGCTTAAGTGCATGAGTGTACACACCTTTAAAAACCGATATATGATTGAGTTGACAACACTTTGAGGAATATCACTGACAGCTGTAGGTCATCTTTTCCCTTACAAATTAGATTCTCACTTAATATTGCATTGCTAAGTACACGTGTCTTTTAAAAAGTGAGGCATTGTCAGCGTATTCTAAAAGTCTTTTCGTGACACATTTTCTATTTAGGTCAACCTACATCGACACCATTTGGATTCCACACCCGTCCAACCGGTTCAGCCTGTTATGCATCGCAGTTTGTGTGTGCCAACCTTAAATGTGTTGATAAGGACCAGTTATGTAATTTCAAGGATGATTGTGGGGACAACTCAGATGAACTGCCATGTGGGACCACTTGTAATTTTGAAGGTTAGTTACACAGTATTAATATGTTTTGGTCAAAAAAACTTCGAAAAGTAAAAAAAAAGTTCGATAAAACTTTGTTGAGTATACATATGAATCAATTCTTTAGTTGTGTTTTAAGTGTTCTACTGCATGCATTAACTGAGTTCATTAAGATGTGCCAAAGTCATGACTTTCTCCCTTGGTCGATCTCTTTAGGAAACTGCTACAAAGGATGGAGACAAGCTAAAGGTACGGATAACTTTAACTGGATACGACGTCAAGGCAAGACACCTAGTGTCGGCACTGGACCGTCCGCTGACCATACTCTTGGGACGCCGCAGGTATGATATGCCGATAGCGAAAGAACAATCTACTGAATATATCGCAAAATAAGATCTCTACGATACCTAGAACTATTTTAAAGTGACTCTTAAATGAATATTTGGTGTTATAGGGATACTACATGTTTATGGAAGTGTCGTGGGGCAGCCCAGGAGATATCGCTGAGCTCACCTCATACAAGTACTTCGCAGCTAGTGCAGCCTGTACAATGACATACTGGTATCACATGTATGGATCTGGTATTGGCTCACTCACTGTCAAGGTAACGTTCTATCTTTCGCTATCAGCTCAATTAGTGTAGCTATTATATGTAACCAGTTGTCAATTTCAGATCAAGAAATCGGACGGTACCTACGATATCAAGCAGACTTTGACTGGTGCACAGGGAAATCAGTGGAAGAAATCAATTGTCAGCATTGGCAACTACAAAAACTTTGTCATCATCTTCTCGGCTAAGCGTGGCGCTAATTATCAAGGCGACATTGCTATTGACGATATATCATTCTCGAAGAACTGCTACATCGACGTCGCCAGAAACTGTACACCTAACGAGGTACAGCTAGACGAAATTTGTACTGTATACCCGGTGCACTAGTATTGATTTTGTTTGTGTGGTTTCAAAGATCCTCATGAAAGTTTTCATGTTGTTTTTAAGGTTCGATGTAAGAACAGTGGCTACTGCATTCCACCTCAACATGTCTGCGATCTGGTAGACGACTGTGGTGATGGCACCGACGAAACGACAGCCGTCTGCCCGTCCAGCAATGCTAACTGTAACTTTGAAAAAACATGGTGTTATTGGTACAACTGGTACTATGATGATTTTGATTGGTTACGTGGCTCGACCACTGGAGCCCAAGGGACTGGGCCTACCGGCGATCACACGACCGGTAGCGGACAATTCCTTTATATTGATTCGTCGTCTCCAAGAAAACCATATGACCGAGCTCGATTGTGGATGTCAAGGAGCTTCCCCAAGGGAACAGGAGTGTGCAATATGCGATTCTATTATAATATGTACGGTTCGTCTTCTATGGGTATCCTTAAGGTGTATGTTGTAACGTACAAAAGTGGATTCTATAGATGGAGTGAAGTTTGGCGAACAAGAGGTTAGTGGAACACACTTGGTCAATACAGTATGTATGGTAATGATATGTGTGAGTAGTACATCACATGAATTCATTGTATTTCAGGTGACCCAACGAACAGGAATTGGATCAGAGCGGATGTCCCTCTTAATTCCAGATATTCTACATTCTACGTCGGTATGGAGGCAACTGTTGGCGGAAATGACAAAACAGACATTGCTATCGATGATACGAGTTTCTCAGCAGGGTGTTATAGTGGCGGTACTCCGGCTCCTCCCACCGGTAGGTCTTTTGATAAAAAGCACTCTTTTCTTACTGATTAGAAAAGTCCTTTATCGTTTCCTGGACTATTCAAAAAAGACTTTTATTTTACTTCTTTCGTTCAATATTGTCAAATAGTCATCAAATTTTATATTCCATAGGTGCTTATAAATGCAAGCAGAATGAATTCTACTGCCCCAAAGATGACACATGCATCAATAAGAACTGGCAGTGTGATGGTGAGAAAGATTGTAGTGATGGTGCCGATGAAAAGGGCTGTCCAACTACGACACCAGTAGTGACGCCTTCCCTAGGACCAGCTCATCCAGGCGACTGTAACTTTGACACAAGTATGTGTTTGTGGAAATCGGCGACATTCGCTGATATGAAATGGACAAGAAACAAAGGCAAAACACCAAGTTGGAAGACTGGTCCCTCTTATGACCACACAACAGGAAATGGTAAGATGAAATGTTGCTAAAACGACATATTAACGATACAAAAAATATGTAATTGAAAAACGATTTGGGAATAAAGTAGTAGCATCTTTTTGTCAGAGGCAACGCAAACTATACTAAAAAAATGCTTGCCTTCAAATTCTCCAGTTTTAAAATCGAAAGAATTCTTAAGTTTAGTGTGGAATATATTTGACTGATATAAAACTAACATCGTTATTTATCAGTCGTTAAGAGTGCTAGCTTACGTTCGAATCCTATTGGAGAGTTACRTTCATTTGTGTATAAAATAACCTATGAAAACCGAGTGACTCGCATATAGGTCTCAAAGCTAATGGGAGAAAGTACGTTAGACTAAGTATGACGTCACTGTTACGTAGTAGTGTGGCTGAAAAAACGACCAGATGAATCAATCTGAATGGACACAGAATTGTTCATCGAAACAATGAGATGGATAAAAAATATAATACAATAATGAGCTGTAAAACAAACATAATTCATTCCATGAAAGTTCATATGTCACATTGTTTGTTTAAGTTTATTATATATTCATATTTCGGAGAATTGTTGTATCCTAGGTTATTACGTATACGCTGAATCGTCCTGGAAATATCAAGGTCACTTTGGTGAACTTCTCGGACCCAACCTCCAGCCATCCAGTACATGTATGATACGATTCTGCTATCACATGTATGGTGCTACCATGGGAACGCTAAATGTATATCAGCGTAATACTCTCGACAAAGACCCTGACAACACACAGACAAAGGTATTCACAATGAGCGGTGACCAAGGCGATAAATGGCGCTGTAAATTCCTTAAGGTTCCAAGTACAGTCCAGTACTCTATCGTCTTTGAGTCTGTGAGAGGAAAGGGTTATCAGTCCGACATAGCTCTCGATGATATCAAATTCATTAGTTGTGGTGTTCTGGGACCTACAGCAGCGCCTACACCAGCACCCAAGCCTTCAATTATTGATGAGGACTTTGAAGATTGCGTGAGTTGCTGGGAAAATGATAAAAGTGGACATGACCAAATGGACTGGCAGATGGGACGTGGTTCYACCTCTAGTCTCAACACAGGCCCATCCTTTGATCACACCAAAAAGACCATATATGGAAGATACTTGTACATCGAAGGTAACAACCAGTCTAGCTGGGATCACGCTGACCTTGAGAGTCGACTGCTTACAATCCAGAAGAAATGTTTCATGACGTTCTGGTATCACATGTATGGAAGGACCGTGGGAGAACTCGTGGTGACCGCATATGTATATAGAAAAGACAATCCAAAAGGTATCTTGATCTCTTTACTAATTCGTTTTGTTATTGCCATTGCTATCATAAGCTATCGTTACATTACTGAAATCGCTAGCGGCCTTACGTAGTTTCCGGAATTGTTACCATACTGTTTGAGCTAGCAAAACGTAGGATTAGAAAATGAAATCGAAAGCGCATAATAGTAAAATGAAACATTTAAAGGAAGAAAAATAGATTATGACTTTGCAAATGATGCCTTCAAACTTCCCGATCCTATCCATGCCGAAATGTACGGTCCTAAAACTCCAGTTTCGAGTTCTTATTTGTGCAGCCTTGACCTCGAAAGCATGTAATATATTCTTTTATTCAGCAGAGATCCTATTGTAATGCAAAACACTATGTGTACAAAGAAGACAATAGACATTTATGCTTGATTGAAGCTAAGCTTGCACAAAAGAGAATTCCGAAACTGGAGTATTTTAACCAATCACGTTGAGCCAATGAGAAGACAATAAAAATTTATGCTTGATTGAAGCTAAGCTTCCACAACAGAGAATTCGAAAGTATTTTAACCAATCACGTTGCGCGTTATAAACTGATAATTCATGGTTATGTTGCCGTCATATAGTCTCGAATCGTGCTTGAATTAAATGTCTGTATTTTATCATGTTTTACAGTCAAGGATTATGAAGTAACATTATTCAACATATATGGTAATCGTGGGAATAAATGGAACTACGCAATGGTAAGCATGAACAACTACCGGACACAGAACAGGTTGAGTAAAATTGTCATCTCAGCGTTTCGTGGATGGGATTACCTTGGAGACATTGCAATTGACGACATACAGGTAGACACGGTTATACGTTTTATCACTTAGTTAATTTTGAGGTTTTGTTATCTCTCTATAATATCACATATTTGGAATATATCTGTCGTTACCAGGTTCATAACTGTAAATTCAAAGATATCATTACACCATGTGGCGAACGCTTTGCCAACTGCAACAATAAACCTTACGTACCACCAACACTTGGACCATTATCAGGAAACTGTGACTTCGAATCAGGTTTATGTCATTGGAATGTTTCTAAGATGGCCGACATGCCGTGGTACCTGCGACAAGGAAGCACAGCAAGCAAGGGCACTGGTCCAACAACAGATCACACTACTGGCCAGGCAAAGGGTAACTAAACTGTTTGAAGTAAACAAAACAAATTATAGTATATGTATTTCCAATCCAAACCGAAGTTCGTGACCACTATTATACGCCTTGACCTATCCATGTTTTTAATGATTAAAATCATTTCTTTTCGTTAAAACAGGTCATTACATCCATATTGAAGCAAGCTATTATAGTCGTGGTTCAGCGGCTGTCCTTGAAAGTCCTTACATGCTTCCAACAGACTATTGCTCTATGACATTTTACTATCACATGTTCGGTGGGGACTGTGGTTCCCTGTTGGTTTATCTATACACAGGATCCAGCCAGACAACCTTGATGTTTAATAAAACTGGCGATCAGGGCAATAACTGGCAAGTTGGTACTGTTACGATCAAAAGTCAATATGGCTACCGCGTTCACATTGTTGGAACTAAAGGAAGTAGTTTCAAGGGAGACATCGCCATTGATGATATCTCATTTAATGGAAACTGTAAATTTACCAGTGAAACGGCGTTGCAGTATGGCGCTAATGCGTTAAATACAGGTGTGTTCTTCATGGTTTCATCATGTGCTAATTAAGTTAGTTTCCTTGATTTCTTGATGTTTGTTTTCTTTCAGGATGTTCTGATGGCAAGAGAGATGGATTCTTTACCAATACAGACGTTGCTGGTTGTAAAGGTTGGTGGTGGGGAAGAAAGAACCTGCGAGCACCTCGTCAAAAAGGTCGACGTTGTGGTGATGATATGAAAACTTGGTGGCAGAGAGGATGCAGTAACCCCGCTGACCTCTGTGCTGATGGCTGGCATGTCTGTGGTACCTATGGTGACATTTTTGAGATCGTCAATAGAGTAAGGAAACGTTTAAGAAATCAAATAATATTTACAAATAGTTAATTTTGGGGGCATTGAAAGTTTTAAAAACAACAGCTAATCACAAACGTTTTTTAAGCTTTAACAATTAAATCCCTGATATTGCTATAGTATTCTCTCGACATCCAGCGCCAAYTGCCAACCATGGTCGTACTTTTTCAATCAAAGTATTATTTGTTTTTTGTTGTTGTTTTGTTTTGTTTTCGGGTGGAGGGCTGACGGCATGGAACGTTGAGTGGTGGATATTGCATATTGAAAATAATGAAACTACAATATAAGATATACCTGAAAGTGGTCACACTTTTGTGCACGTTAGATTCAGCTCGGTTTGTTTATTTTAGACGACTGGTGACGAATGTCAGATCGCATCATATGGTCGGTTCAGTGCAGCCATCAATCATTGTGTGACTAAAGGCATAGGAGCTGATGGCTGTAGTCGTGCAGTAACAGGAAAGGATTATGGCTGTAGTCAGTACCATAAAGATTGTTCTGAACCACTGTGCTGCGGTGCTTCCTGCTCCGGACCAGATGTGTGCGACTCCGGTAAGAGCTAAAAGAGAGCCCTGCCGTCGCTTTTGTAGTTAAATGATAAAGCAACAGAACWGTCTAAATCTCGATCATTCTGCTGTGACAATTGCCCTTGGAAACAGGATGTTCCTCAAAACTTAATAGTCGGACTCGAAATACGAATATTTGTTTAATTTTCAGATTTCCCCTAGTTACTATAACTGCATAATGTTCTCGATTCAATTGACAGCGGTCTAGCTGTTCATGATGTGTACGGGTATAGAGAGTGTGAGCGGTGAAATCTGCATTAGGATTGACAACCAGTTTGGAAAAACACACAATGCTGTTTGGGTTCGGTTGCGATATGGATGTCATAATTAGTCTAAACAACCTATGATTGCTTTGACATTCTAATTCAGTATGGTATAATAAATGATGTTTTAACCTCGTTAAGGTATTTTCCCGGGTGCGACACGATACACTGCATCCAAGGATGAYCTTCAAGGCTGCTCCTTTATTGGTTCGTATAATGCTGGTGGTGTTATGTGCTGTAAAGACGACAAAACTACCCCTACATTACCCCCCACTAGTCAGCCAACGTTTGGATCATGCAACTTTGAGGACTACAGGAAGCCTTATTGCGGTTGGAAAGTCGATGCTTCACAGCCTGGCAAGTTTGTACGATATCGCGGTGAAACTCCGACTAGAAACACTGGTCCACGGTACGACCATACGAAACAGGATAGCACAGGTACCCGTTATACGATACTATAAAACATAATTTGATTGACATACGGTAACAACACGAGAATAACGCCAATAGATCGAGTTATATAAAGTCCTTTACAATCACAGTGCACACTTAACTGGTAAAGCTGTATTACTAAATTCACTTTATTTAGGCTGGTACGTGTACATGCGAGGTTATGGTTTGGCAATTGGCAAAACAGCGCGACTCATTTCACCATTACTAAATCCCGTACCATCAAGCTGTAGAATCAATTTCTGGTATCATATGTTTGGTACTGGTATGGGTACGCTAAGACTCTACGTCAGAGCCCGCGGCAGCGATACAAAGGTAAATATTACGTTTCTGTAAGTGTTATTTGGTTTATGTGGTAAAGTTTATAACAAGGAAATGAGGCAACATCGATATCGCTCGCTGTCCCAATCAAGTTCTATCGTTGTCTTGCGTGACAGCATTTAGGAGTCAAGATCCTTTAAGATCTAAATGAACTATTTTTTCTAAAGTTGAGGAAAACCAGCATAGCAAAAACAAATTATTAGGTGTCATCCTGTAAAAGCTCGTTTTTTAGTGAAACTTGACACTTATGAAATGTTCTAAAATTCTGAAATAAAAATCGAGTACATTTGACTTTAAGTTGTCGATTCCTAGCCAGGGTTACTATGTTGTGTCCTTGGTCCTTACTTTCATACCTCACTTAGCCTAGATGTATTATAAATACTTAGGTACCAGAATTGTTAGGTATTTACGATGAACTAGTATATTGAACGAGTATATTCACATATTGAGTTGTAAACCATTGTTTTGCTACTATTCAGTTGATTTATGTTGCTGAACTAGTGTGCAGTGATCAACTGCCATTCTCAAATACTTCAATTGTTTCTTGTCATGTAGGTTTGGGAAAAAAGCGGCAACCAGGGAGATGGATGGAATCGAGGCAAATACGACTTCTTACAACAAATAAACTCTGGCACGAACTTTAGCGTGGTGATTGAGGCTATGCGAGGACCATCATACTTAAGTGATATTGCATTAGATGACATTTCATTCTCAGACTGCCGACCACGTAAGTTTCCTTCTTGTTGACATATCTCGCTGTAGCCATCAAGRTTACTATCGATACCATCATTATATCGTTTTACAGCTAAACCAGGGACATGTCATCGCGATCAGTTCAAGTGTCGCTCTGGAGAGTGTATAGCGTCGAGCTTTGTGTGTGATAACGTAAAGGACTGTACTGATTTCTCGGACGAATCTAACTGCCCCAATAGCAGATGTAACTTAAAGGAAATCTATTGTCCAGTATCGAAACAATGTTTGAATAGAACATTGCAGTGTGATGGTAAACCAGATTGTAAGGACTACAGCGATGAAGTGCATTGTGGTGGTATGTAGCCTTGTCGTTATGCTATACTAATGTGGTCGCCTTTTGTGTTAGTGATTTATGACGGTGGTCTTTTCTTTATCCAGCCTGTTTCAACAACTACTGTCTGCATGGACGATGTCAGATTGATGGACAGGGTCGACCAGACTGCATGTAAGTAATTATATAATCTTTCAGTGTCCCTGGAGATACGTTTCTGGTATCAATGAATTTGATATGATGATGACGACAATAATATGAGTTTGTTTGCCAATAGCTGTCCAACTGGATGGAATGGAACACGATGTGAAAACAAGMTGAACTTCTCCTGTCCCGATGGGAAAATAGTTTGTAAGATTAACGACTGGTTCTGTGGCAACAAAGTTAACATTTGTAATGGTTCCATAGACTGCGGCTTGAATCCTTCTGACAAAGCGAAACTATGTGGATGTGAGTACACTGGAACAAAACATGGAGTCTCTGAGATTTTATTTCTAATTACTCGTTTTAGAGTAATGAAAGCAATTCACTATTTTTGGTTCAAATCCATTTGCCTTCTAGAGTATTATTAACAGTCAAATAACAGTTATAGGCAAATAAATTGTTTGCTTTATGTTCAAAAAGTTGTGTTAAAATACTTTATACACAACAAAAAGATAACAAATCGTGACTGTCGTCTAGGACCACATTTTTCAATCAGCATTTTTTTCTTTTAAAAGGAATTTCTGGGCTGAATAAYCGTAGTTCTAACTGAGGTTCCATTTCAGGTAGCATCAGTGGTTACTGTAGTAACGGTGGAACCTGTAAGACTGATTCCAAAGGAAATCCATCGTGTTCGTAAGTATCCCTCGACTTTAGAGTGGATTTTAATTTATCTATTATGCATAAGGTACTACAGCCCCGATAGTCACCTCTCCCTGATGTCAGTTGAAGATGATTCTTTTTCAATCTTCTGATAATATTTGTCAGAACTAACTCACGGTTTTTTGGTTGTTGTTCAGGTGCCCTTCAGGCTACACGGGCCCGCGCTGTCTAACGCCTGTCTGTAAGTCAGGGCAAATCAAATGTCAAGGACGATGTGTTGATAAAGACAAGATTTGCGATGGTTCTGATTTGTGTGGATTCTCGCCACTAGGCGTACAGAAATTATGTGGAGGTATGAGGCGTAATACCTATGTCTTTGCTAATATACAATAAAGAAATCGCGCGCGATGTCCGCCTTTACGCAGCAAAAGAACAAAAACAACGATGTACCAATATCAGCTGCTTGTACGTTTCGTTCTTTCACACGTACACATATTAGCTTTGAATAGTCCTGTAACAAATGTCCTTTTAAGCAATCGAAGGGTTATTGGAGGGGGACAAATCTGTCACTCGCTAAGTCAGTCAGTCGCTCACTCACTTTCCTGTAAACTCGAGCCTGCGTTACTTGTGTTCATCAGAATTATTAATTTATTTTAATTGTTTTATAGTTATTTATATCTAACTTTCCGTTGCCGGTTTACCTGTGCTATATGTCATTGAATATATTTATTTTTTGGAAAATAGGTCTCGAAACTGGGCYCGTTGGGTCGAAAATCAAATGCACTACCACTCGGCCACGCGTGCTAATGTCGAACAATAGCGGCTAGACTTGTCTTTTAACTAACAGGCGTTTGCCCCTACTTGTCTAGAATCGAAGTTAAAATGAAAAGATTTTTAACTAAAAAAACTGTATTCAAAAATCGTTTACTTAAAATTCTATTTGTAAAGTAATCAAAGATTCATCGTATCACATTCCGTATTGGTCTACACAATCAATCTTCGAGTTGTGTTGCCATTGGCGGTTTAATTGATTTCTTTTTGTTTTGTGTACTAGTTTGTGCTGATGCCAAGGACTATTGTAAGAACRGTGGATATTGTACACTAGCTGTAACCGGCGTCAAGAACTGCATGTAAGATTGCATTATTTTTGGTTGGTTTGGGTTGGYCATCCAGTTGACAAGCGTGTTTATTACGCAGACAATTATATGCTTACATATATGCATACACACAAGGAGAAAGGACTCGTTCAATCTTGATTATGGTTTCTAATTTTATTTTAATTTGTTTTAATTTGTTGCTTTCCGTTTGCCGGTTATTTTTATTAATATTATTATTTATWTATTTTTRTTTTTTACTTATCATCTTTTTTATGCAGTTGTCCATTAGACTACACAGGTAAAACCTGTGAACAGAAAGTATCAACAAGCTGTACTGGAGGCGAATACAACTGTTTAACGGGCTCCCCAAGCAAATGTGTAGGCAAAGACTACCTTTGTAAAACGGAAGACACCAAGGGAAAATGTGGATACGACGATCAACGGCTCAAAATGTTTTGTGGATGTAAGTGACGGTCAAATTTTATATTCCACCAAAAGACATAAATAAATGACCTCTTTCTTCRATGCCATTCAACGTAAAGAAATGTCGTTTTGACTGGCGACAGCGACAATTATCATTGTCTAATTCTAACCACTGATTGGTTAATTCAAATCACTCATTGGCTCGTTTTTATCACTGATTGGCTAATTATGTGGTCATTTCTGTATTTTGTCACTGTTTGTATCATGATTAAGCATTAATTTTCTGACAATTACTTTATGCGTACTCATATTGATTTTATGCTTCAATATTTAGTCTGTTTTGGTGCTTATTGCAATGGCCATGGTATCTGTCAGACAGTCAACAGCACAAAAACATGCAAGTAAGTACATTTTAAAAGCATYTTCCCTATTTATTCTGATTAGTTTAGATACTGTCTACTCGTAACTAGATTGCTGACACTATATCCATGAAATAGAACTGACGTACCCGTGAAACAAATAGTGCAAAATAGTGCTAGAATTTATCTTTCTATTGTCAAACCATAACTGTGTAGAAGTAACTATCAATATTTATTTCACGGATTTAGTGCGTTCACCCTAGTAACTATTTAGATTTTATTTTTGGAATGCACGCATTCTAGTCGCTATGATTTATAATTAGACRATTTTACATTTTCATGACAAGTTTTTGTGGGATAAGTACAATTAGCAATCACTGTGCATAAATGAATCAGTAATACGTTTTTGTAATTGGTACTTCAATATGGTGAATTGTGTTCTTATGTTTCTGCGGAATGCGCCATTTATAACCTAAAATTTCATGTTATTTTGGTAGATGTAACAAGGGCTGGACAGGTCCACAATGCTCCAAGGCCGATCTGAAATGTAAGGATCCTAACCCCATCCCGTGCAGCATTGGCCAAGGATACTGTGAAAACAGAACAAACGTCTGCGAAAAAGGTGTTCAGTGTGGATTGTCTGATGCCGAGAAGTCCCAGTATTGTCCAGGTAACTATTATYATTATRACGTCSATTATTTGTGCGTCGGTATGGCTTGTGTTTTCCTTCGTCCTAAGGTTTTGTAATTCTTCTCTCTGCACTGTGTGCTTTCCATTCATTATATCTTTATCTGTGCTCTCTTTACTCGTTCGCGTGTTTTTGTGTTTGTGTTTGTTTTTCTTTCTTTTTTATTCTATTTTTTTCCTGCTTCTTCTATTGCTAAGACAAAAATACTAATAATTATTCACTTTTAATAGTTGCTCCACCAAGATCAGGAAAATCAACTGGAACCAAACAACGAACAAGTAAGACTCGATTTCTAAAGAAACTGCACTGCGTATTGCAGCAAATAATTCCTGTGTGTTCTACAGTATTATTGGATTGATTCAATATATGCTTTGTTTTAGCGTTCATTGCTGCAAATAATTCCTGTGTGTTCTACAGTATTATTGGATTGATTCAAT